TTGAAGCTCCTCTCACTACAACGATGGACCCGACACACGCACCGTGAATACATTGAATGATGAGAGGTTTCGTCTCTCTATATATATTAAACCTACACCTGGGTCGCAAGTCCCAGTCACTGTTGAAGCTCCTCTCCCTGCAACACGATGGATCCGACACACGCACCGTGAATACATTGAATGATGAGAGGTTTCGTCTCTCTATATATATTAAACCTACACCTGGGTCGCAAGTCCCAGTCACTGTTGAAGCTCCTCTCCCTGCAACACGATGGATCCGACACACGCACCGTGAATACATTGAATGATGAGAGGTTTCGTCTCTCTATATATATTAAACCTACACCTGGGTCGCAAGTCCCAGTCACTGTTGAAGCTCCTCTCCCTGCAACACGATGGATCCGACACACGCACCGTGAATACATTGAATGATGAGAGGTTTCGTCTCTCTATATATATTAAACCTACACCTGGGTCGCAAGTCCCAGTCACTGTTGAAGCTCCTCTCCCTGCAACACGATGGATCCGACACACGCACCGTGAATACATTGAATGATGAGAGGTTTCGTCTCTCTATATATATTAAACCTACACCTGGGTCGCAAGTCCCAGTCACTGTTGAAGCTCCTCTCCCTGCAACACGATGGATCCGACACACGCACCGTGAATACATTGAATGATGAGAGGTTTCGTCTCTCTATATATATTAAACCTACACCTGGGTCGCAAGTCCCAGTCACTGTTGAAGCTCCTCTCACTACAACGATGGACCCGACACACGCACCGTGAATACATTGAATGATGAGAGGTCTCGTCTCTCTATATATATTAAACCTACACCTGGGTCACAAGTCCCAGTCACTGTTGAAGCTCCTCTCACTACAACGATGGACCCGACACACGCACCGTGAATACATTGAATGATGAGAGGTTTCGTCTCTCTATATATATTAAACCTACACCTGGGTCGCAAGTCCCAGTCACTGTTGAAGCTCCTCTCCCTGCAACACGATGGATCCGACACACGCACCGTGAATACATTGAATGATGAGAGGTTTCGTCTCTCTATATATATTAAACCTACACCTGGGTCGCAAGTCCCAGTCACTGCTGAAGCTCCTCTCCCTGCAACACGATGGATCCGACACACGCACCGTGAATACATTGAATGATGAGAGGTTTCGTCTCTCTATATATATTAAACCTACACCTGGGTCGCAAGTCCCAGTCACTGTTGAAGCTCCTCTCCCTGCAACACGATGGATCCGACACACGCACCGTGAATACATTGAATGATGAGAGGTTTCGTCTCTCTATATATATTAAACCTACACCTGGGTCGCAAGTCCCAGTCACTGTTGAAGCTCCTCTCCCTGCAACACGATGGATCCGACACACGCACCGTGAATACATTGAATGATGAGAGGTTTCGTCTCTCTATATATATTAAACCTACACCTGGGTCGCAAGTCCCAGTCACTGTTGAAGCTCCTCTCCCTGCAACACGATGGATCCGACACACGCACCGTGAATACATTGAATGATGAGAGGTTTCGTCTCTCTATATATATTAAACCTACACCTGGGTCGCAAGTCCCAGTCACTGTTGAAGCTCCTCTCACTACAACGATGGACCCGACACACGCACCGTGAATACATTGAATGATGAGAGGTCTCGTCTCTCTATATATATATTAAACCTACACCTGGGTCACAAGTCCCAGTCACTGTTGAAGCTCCTCTCACTACAACGATGGACCCGACACACGCACCGTGAATACATTGAATGATGAGAGGTTTCGTCTCTCTATATATATTAAACCTACACCTGGGTCGCAAGTCCCAGTCACTGTTGAAGCTCCTCTCCCTGCAACACGATGGATCCGACACACGCACCGTGAATACATTGAATGATGAGAGGTTTCGTCTCTCTATATATATTAAACCTACACCTGGGTCGCAAGTCCCAGTCACTGTTGAAGCTCCTCTCCCTGCAACACGATGGATCCGACACACGCACCGTGAATACATTGAATGATGAGAGGTTTCGTCTCTCTATATATATTAAACCTACACCTGGGTCGCAAGTCCCAGTCACTGTTGAAGCTCCTCTCCCTGCAACACGATGGATCCGACACACGCACCGTGAATACATTGAATGATGAGAGGTTTCGTCTCTCTATATATATTAAACCTACACCTGGGTCGCAAGTCCCAGTCACTGTTGAAGCTCCTCTCCCTGCAACACGATGGATCCGACACACGCACCGTGAATACATTGAATGATGAGAGGTTTCGTCTCTCTATATATATTAAACCTACACCTGGGTCGCAAGTCCCAGTCACTGTTGAAGCTCCTCTCCCTGCAACACGATGGATCCGACACACGCACCGTGAATACATTGAATGATGAGAGGTTTCGTCTCTCTATATATATTAAACCTACACCTGGGTCGCAAGTCCCAGTCACTGTTGAAGCTCCTCTCCCTGCAACACGATGGATCCGACACACGCACCGTGAATCCATGGAAAGCTGAGAAGTTTCGTCTCATTTATATATTTATATATGTATATATATAAACTATGTGTTGTTCTTCATAACATTAGCCGCGTTAAGGATGAACAATCCATGTCAATGTGTGTTTGTTTGTGTGTTTAAACAGAGTGCTAACTGATGTACGGCAGCCCGCTGACGGCTAAGTCGGTGTAGAGTGAATACGATTACTTGTGTAGTTTGGGATATATTAAAAAATATACATAAACCTTCTCCATTTGAGAAGAGGATTTTGTCCAGCAGTGGGCTCTGATAGGCTGATGAATGATGATGATGAATATATAATAAAGTTTCAAATTTTTCCTTTTATTTCATTAAACGAGTCAATTTAATTTGTGTAAATCTCTGAACATAAAGTACACTAAAGAAGCCTTAATGGCTTCTCTTATAACTTTTGACGGTGTCTCAGACTTAGCGACAAAGAAACTTGACAATAACCTGTTTATATATAATAATAATTATATATTATACTTAAAAAAAATTATATACTTACATTAATCTTTATATAAAAGAAAGTCGTGTTATTTACACTATTTATAACCCAAGAACGGTTGTATTGGTTTAGCTGGAAATTAGTGGAGGGATAGCTTAGAACATAGAAAGGACATAGGATACTTTTCATACGATCGAAAAAGAAAATAAAATAAGTAGATCAAATCCAAAATCTTCTTATCCGTCTTTAATGTGGAATATAGTTCGCCCGGTCTATACATTTCCAATTCTGAAACTAACGCAGACGAAGTCGCGGGAGTAAACTATAATTCATATATATATATATATATATAATAATGATAAAATCATGGTCACCGTACTATTCGAGACGCGACCACGTGTATATTTAGTCTTTTACTTTTTCCAAACACCCTTACATGTTCTTTGATGTCGGTAAAGGAAGCGTTGTAAACATTACAGACAGATTTAGAATTCTTTGTACTTATAACAAACTATGATTTAGTTCGTGAGCCACGAATATAGATGGCGCTGATGAAATATTTATATTACGGTTAAATAATACAAATGCGTTTCGATTAACTGACCTATAAGTTTTGTACTCTGGTTTAATTTTATATAGTGCTTTGTATTTTTAAGGTTGCTATCTAATAATAGAAGTAAAATCGTGGTGGCCTAGTGATTAAAGGCCGGCTCTCGTGCTTGAGGGCGCGGGTTCGATCCTGGCAATACCAATGTGATTTTTCCGAGTCATATGTACTTTCTGAGAGTATTTAGACACCACTGATTAATGAAGGAAAATATAATACGAAAACCTGGACTTATAATTACAAATTATAAGTTTGTAATCGCCAACCTGTCTTGAGCAAGCGTGGTGATTAATGCTCAAACCTTCTTCATGTGAGAAAGAGGCCTTTGCTCAGCAGTGGGCTCTGATAGGATGATGATGATGATGAATAGATGTAGCTTGCTCTATAAATTCTTTTATGCTTCTATAATGATAGAAAACCGTGATATTTACATAAAAACATATTACTCATAAAATAAAGCCAATCAAATTCTGAAACGTTTATTTTAAGAGAAATTTTCCTCAATAATTAATATTTAACCATCTTTAGTTCATTAGTTATAATTAACTATTTAATATGAATGATCAGGAAATTAAGATACATCTATCAACATCTTAGATTAATCTCGTAATGGATGCTGGACTCATTAATTGTACCAATCACATTAATACTATTTTCGTTTCTCGTTTTTTTTCGTAGCCATAGAAAATGTTAGTATTATTTTTATTAATACCTACTAATATTATAAATGCGAAAGTAACTCTGTCGGTCTAATACGCTATCACGCTTAAACCACTGAACTGATTTTAATGAAATTTACTACAGACATAGAGTTGATCTTGAGAAAGAACAAAGGATAGTTTTTATCCCAGAGTTAAGAAAGGTTCTCTTGGTAACGCGATATAACCGAACTCCACGCTGGCGAAGCTGCGGGCGGAAATCTAGATTATAATTCGTCTGGTTCAGTTAAAAATGATTTTATAAAGGGATTCTTTTATAAATATGTATATATATTAGCTGACCCAGCAAACGTTATATTGCCGTATAGATAGGTGTTGGTGATAAAAAAGTAAAAATTTTGGGTTGTATGTATTTTTCAATGACACATTATAAAAAAATTAAGTGTGAACAAAACTTATCATTTAGAGATATGAAAAATAGATAGTAGCCGATTCTCAGACCTACTGAATACGTAAATAAAATTTGTGAAAAATCGGTAAAGCCGTTTCCGAGGAGTACGGTAGCTAATATTGTGACATGGAAATATTATATATATGTCGAATGTTCAAGATACAAATCTGTTTTATACATAGAAACCTTGATACTACTAATTCTTATTACTCGAACTACGTATGTTTAACAACTTACTTCGATATATATAAAAGATATATTGAATATAATATGTATGTATGTATATTTTGTTTCAGATGTCACTCACGGACACAGGGGCCGCTTTCGTAAAGCCAATCGTCGACACAGAGCTACTGCAGGTAAAAAAATAATATAACAAACTTTAGTACCTTTTCAAATATATTCAAAATCTATAATTTCATTATAGGGCTAATAGTTTTCACTCACAATATATTTGTCTTGAAGGCAGGAAGATAATATAAGTCACTATGATGGATAGATCTATCTTCTAGAGCTTTACAACTTAGTATCAGGTCGAAAGATGATGATGATGATGTTATCACCAGTAATAAATGATCTCATAACTATATTTCTGTCGTCCACTGTATGATCCTATAATGAGATATAAAACTTTCTCGATTATCCCTTTAAATGAAACTAATATTTTCGGATTACTACGCGTATTCTATTATTTTTATGAGTACAGACTTCGGACGTTTCGGTTACTTTGGAGTTATCGTGATCACGGACAGACGAGATGTTAATGAAAGTAGTTTTTACTTTTTAAAAATAATAAAATACGCGGAGTAATCCGAAAATATAATTTAAAATTTTCATTTAAATTTGTATGAATCCTCCTCACAACCAATTGTCCCTCAACTATAAGATACTCTGCCTGAAAATAATTACCACTAACTATAAGCGTATTATAAGGATAAACGAAAAAACAGACAAGCAAAGACATGGTTCATTACTATCTTTTATTTAACACGAAGTAACCAAATATTAAATTTAAATAAATTTACAGAGTTTTATTAAACTAAAATAAATCAAATACTATACTAGTATAATACTAAAACTACTTAAAATAAATCAAATTCTTATACATATATGGAAATCTATTAATAATGTAATCTCTAAAATTGACTTTCAGGCGATAGAAAAGTGGGTATCAGTAATAGTTTGGTAATTGTGTAAGGACTAAAGGCCCGTTATTACTTCAGGCCCTTTGGCATTGCTAGTGTACCCAATAAGGTACGGGGCCTACCAAAAACTTGATCAATCCCAGGCTTAATCTCCCCTTAAAAATAAGAAAACTTCCTTTCGTTGAAAATCAGACGCGTCATATTTATTAATTATTTATTTACCTGTAAAATTATCAATAAATATTACATATATGTATAGAATTTTCATAGTTGTTAAACCTAAAAAACATAGTTTTTTTATATGTATATACCAAGAAAATTATCGTCTTTATAGTAGAATATAAAATGAAATAGGTAATTGTACTCTATAACTAAACTTCAAAAATATCAATGAATTATTTCATATGATACTTCAAATATAACAAATGTAACCATTGAAGTACTTCAATTACTTCATATATTTTTGAAGTGTACGTGTTTATTTGAAACAATACGTGCAATAATTACAAAGCACCACTCATAACGACGCTTAACGCCAGACGGTAATTGTAGACGCTACCCAATGTAAAGAAAAGTATGGAGAGATTAATAGTCAAAATTATTGATTTATATCAACAAAAATGTTATAAATACATTGAAATATCAATATATACAGACAATAAAAACACTATTAATTGAATTTATTGGTTGTTTTGTATATAATTAACTGATATAAACAGCTTTTGTCTCTTTTAAACGTATTAGTGAAAAATCATTCATGCGTGTCAATTAGCGCCATCTATGATTGAGCATATGTAATAATACCTTTCACCGATAGATGGCGTTAATCTACATTACATTTTATTTATTACGTTTCATCGATAGATGGCGTCCTTCGCTTCGAGCCCGAACCGTATAGCAAGAAGTTTGAGCTTGGCAGTTCCGGTAAAATACATTGTAAAGTGGCGGGAGGTGTAACACCGAACGTACAGTGGTTCTTGGTTTGTATATTATATTTAAAATAAATTAGAAAGATAACGCTATATATCTTTATTACAAAATGTAACGCAACTTACAATATACTTAACACGTATAGATAAAGAATCAAGATAGCAAATTATTTACGAGTTGAAATTATCAAAAAGTATTAAAATACAGTAGAATATAAGTGTTAATTATAACATCAAAAAATGTTTACTTGAATGGTATTACCTACATGTCATATTTATTCTTTAAATGAAAAATGCTTTTCTATGAAATGTTTTCGAATTACTACGCGTATTTTATTATTGTTAAATACGCCATACTCCCGAAGTCATCATCGTCATCATGATCATGGTTGTAGCAAAGTAACCGAAACCTCGGGAGTATGTAGTTTTTCAAACATAATAAAATACGCGTAGCAATCCTGAAACATTAGTTTCATTTTAATGAATACACGAAACTCTTAGATCTCATAGTGTTATGTTCTAGACTTAAAATTATAGTTTCATTTCAATGATGACGAAAGTCTTAAATCTCATAATATTATATGTTCTAGAATGATAAAGATCCTCTACCTGATGGTATAACCTCAGCAAACGGAACTCTCATGGTAACAGAATCTAAGAAGACCCAGGCGGGAAACTACTCCTGCCACGCGTCAGATGGAGATCAAACTATAACGGCCAAGATCACCTTAGATGTTGTCGGTAGGAATAATATTTAAACATTCACCAATATATGCAGATACTTAAGATTTTAGTTAACTTGTAAGTTAGAATTATCATTGAAAGCATTGTGGACCAGTTTATGTAGATACTTAGGAATATTTTTCAGGTTTTTTTCTTGTTAGAATAAAGTTTTGATATGGTTAAAACTCTATGATTCTGTATATAGGTAGTTTCATCTTCTATATATATAAAAATGGATTGCTGTTCCTTAGTCTCGCTAAAACTCGAGAACAGCTGAACGGATTTATCTTATCTTAGTCTTAAAATGTTCGTGGAGGTTCAGGGAAGGTATAAAAGGTGAGAAAAATTGAAATAATTGCCGGGAAAACCCTAAAAACAGCCCTTTTCTATTTCCCATACAAACGCTTTTTTTGACATTAGATTTGACAACTAACTAATATGTCAATCATTCTGTTTGATTGAAACAGGAAAAACCTGATTTTTTATGGCCTCTAAGATGGAATAGAGTTCGCCTGGTCAGCTATACATATATTCCTAATGACGAAACTAACGCGGACGAAGTCGCGGGCAAAAACTAGTTTATAATATAAGTCTAACCTTATTTTCATATATATATTTGATGTTTCTAGTATCTCCGAGGGTATTAGAACCTACTCCGGGCCAGCAGATGCATGTGACGGTAGGACAGACGGTATCTCTGAATTGCTTGGCGGTAGGCGACCCACCACCTACTACCCATTGGGATAGAAACCTCAGCATACTACATCAACAAAGTAAGTTGTCTTCTTCTTGACACTAGATGGCTCTGTATTATTACTTTTGAGTGTTGTCACTAGATGGCGCTGATTCAAATTAAATTTTCTAAGTAATCCTTGTCAAAAATAAAGCTTCTATTCGTCAACAGATGGCACTGACGCCGATGAAAGTGCAAACTCTTCGATTTCAAGGTTGGTTAATTTCGTATAACTAAATCTTTAAATATCAATAATATTAATTGTAGTTTAACTACTAATATTATAAATGCGCAAGTTACTCTGTCTGTCTGTTACGCTTTCACGCTTAAACCACTGAATTGATTTCAATGAAATTTGGTACAGAGATAGAGTTGATCTTGAGAAAGAACATAGGATAGTTTTTAATTTTTATCCCAGACTTTTGGAAGGTTCTCTTGGAAACGCGATATAACCGAACTCCACGCGGGCGAAGCTGCGGGTGGAAAGCTAGTATGTTATAATAATTAATATATATGTATGTTCAGATTGGTGATATTAAACAACGGCACACTCCTGATAGTGAACGCGTCGGAGGTAGACTCGGATCGATACGGCTGTACGGCCGGCAGTGCTGCGGGGCTGGCGAGGAACGAACTAGAACTGATCGTACATCCAGGTTGATATACTGAAATATATATAGCATTGGATTATATATTATATAGTTATTAACACTAAATAAATACTAATTGTGAAAAAATTGCATTAAAAGTCAATAATATAGAAAATATTTCAGCTTAGTCTTTCTTCTGATAATTTGCTTCCAATGTATATACAATATATATGTTGAATATATAATTTTATTTAGCATATAGAAATAAGGTGAATTTGTTAATCCGTCTGAGGAGACCGTTTATAAGAAATAATTTTGTCTCTATATTTAGTTTAGTCTATACTGGTGTTTATTGTCTATGCTCTCTGCTAACGTGTTAAGAAAAAAGTGTCTAGTTTTATCCAACAGAAAATTTCAATTTCATTAAACATAAGAAGAATCCTATACAAAACCTAAATAGTTAACAATATATAATTGTTAAAAATTAATAACAAGTTGATATTTTTTTAAAAAACAAACTTTCGCCGGTCAAGGGACAATTTATTTACTATTCAAGACTAATTAGAGACTTCTATTGACATTAATTGAGAACAAAAAGTGACCGACTGTCAGTAATGGCTTATATAGGTGGCTTGAGGGTTGCCAGTATAATAATTAATTATTATTTAATAATATATGTGTGTTTATCCACAGTAGGTGATCTCCCCCCCTCAGAGTCTTCTGGCGTGGCGGGTAAAGCTGTGTTAGTCTCTATCACAGTAGCGGGCGCGTACATGATACTGGTGCTAGCTCTCATGATGTACTGCAGGAGGAGACGGCTGCAGAGGAGGCAGAGAGGTACTTGTTATACTTACAACGAGGTAGAAGTTGCGTTAAACGTTTAACGCAACCATGTAGGGGGGTAGGATAAAAGAGAGAGGATAGTGCGTGGCTCTCAAACACATTCAGGAAATATACATATATATTTTGTATGGACTCATTTTGTATATCAGCTGTACTGATGTTCAAGAAATATATATTGATATAGTTAAATTATAATAATATTTGGGTTATATTTGAATGTAAATTTTAAATTATGACTATGCTTATAAAGAATATGTACTAAATAGTGTATACATATTATAATATTTTATTTAGTATCCATTTTGAAAACTCTGTTATTTAATTCTATTTATTCTCAAATTAAAATCTCATGCAACCATTTAAATGTTTATTATTAAAGATATAAATATATAAAGGAAATGTAATCGTCTCATACTCTAAATTCTAGGAGAGAAATTAGAATTGGAAATGGCAGAAGGCAGAGAGAAGTTAGTAGAAGAAGATAAGAAGACAAACGGAGCTACTCAGAACGGGAGACTACTGTGTGATAAAGAGAGTGGTGAGTAGATTGGTTTAGGAGCTAGGAGGGAATATGAACTTGTAGCATACATACATACACTAACATCATCAGCCTATCAGAGCCCACTGCTAAACAAAGGTCTCTTCTCACATGGAGAAGGTTTGAGCATTAATCACCACGCTTGCTTAAGGTTGGTGATTTCAAACTTATATGTAATTGTGAAACTATAAGTCCAGGTTTCCTCACGATGTTTTCCTTCATCAGTCAGTGATGTCTAAATACTCTTAGAAAGTACATATGACTCGGAAAAATCACATTGATACTTGCCAGGATCGAACCCGCACCCTCATGCAGAAGCTTTGAATTTTTTAGTAACTAACTTTGAAAACTAATTTACATTTATATACTATACATACTAGTCTTTATACGTGACGTCGCCTTAATTGTCTTAAGTATAGCGTTAGTACTTACTATACAAATATTATGATGTATTTAAATTACTAGGAATGAAGGTTAAAATTGTAGTCTATAACTTATTGGAAAATTTCATCAAAATATATTCAGGTTATTTTAAATGATAGATTCATACATACTTATATACATTTATTTTATTTCCTAATACTAATATTGTAATTCATTTAAACCAATAAAAATGATAGTTTTAATATAACTATTCTTTTAACTGTTTCCTAATGTATATATATTTATATTATATAACAATTTTCTTCAGGAGCTGATAATTCAGAAGTTTCCGGTACATCAAGAACATCAAAAAAATCCGGGCAATATGATCACCTCAGTGTACCCAAGACATTACTCACTGATATAATAACATTGGGTGAGTGATTAATTAAAATAAATACATCTATATACAAAAATATCAATTATAAGATTACGTAGTAAAATTTAATATATAACATATATTTTTTATATTATTAACTTAAAATAATATTCTACATGTAATTAAATACCAGCCGTTTTATGCGGCTTTGTCTGCATATTAAGCCTTGAGATACTTATTATCATATATATATATATATATATATATATATATATATATGAGATTTTAACTCAATGAAAGTAAAACTCTCCAAGAACAATGTCTTTTGTACAAAAATTTATATTCTATAAATGAGAAGTTATGGAATAATAATAGTATTGTCAAATATAGTTATAAGTTATCCAAGTTACTCCTTACAAGATACGCTACATGCTTGTGAAATTTCGATTTAAATTTGTCCAGCTATTTAAGAGATTAGTCGGAACAAACAGATAGATAAACAAATATAAAAAAAAATCGTGTCTGTAGATATTATATACACTTTTAGATAGCTTTATTTACTAAACGTTTGATGGCATGAGAAAAACTAATTGAAATAAAACATTATGTAATACTATTTAATTAATAGGATTTGCACGGAAACACATTTAAATAAATAATGTATGGCATTATTTTAAATTGAACCTTATAACAATTAAAATATGGTATAATTTTATATGAAGGTCGCGGTGAATTCGGTGACGTGATGCTGGCGAAGATAGATCTCGCTCAAATAAAGAAATTGAAAAACAAAGATGATGACTCTGAGAGTGTCATACAACCGGTACTGGTGAAGGCGCTCACTACTAAGGATAATGTGAGTTATTAACACCAAATTAATATGGATTATCAGTACAAAGAGATTGTTTATAAACATAGTTCAGTTTAATTTGGTTATATATATATTTATATTATGAGGTCAGTCGTATCAAAAATATTTTCAAACTACCTACTTGGTCGATGGAAATAATTTTAGTAATAATAATGATTAGTTTTGTTTAAGTACCAGCAATTGTTATATATAATCTACCACACGAAAATTCAACCTCAATCTAAAGAGTCACAGTGGTGGAAATTCAGCTATACAATTTTTCAATGTTTTTTCTAAGAATTTATCATCATAGACACTATCTACTAGTCCTACTAATATAATTGCGAAAGTTTGTGTGTGTGTGTGTGTGTATGTTTGTTACTTCTTCACGCTCAAAAGGCTGAACCGATTTTGATAGAATTTTGTATACAGGAAGCTGATGTCTAGGAATAACACATAGGCTACTTTACATCCCGGAAATCCGAGGGTAACGCCACGGGGCGCAGCTATTATATATATATTCCAGCAGTATATACAACGTGTAACATAATTAACGCACACCCTGAAAGTAGTTTGATCAGAATCGGATACTGGATCGATTTTGATAGTTTTTTATGAAGGTCATTTTTTTTCTCAAATTTAGATATAACTAAGTAAATTATAGTCACCCTACACACAGTTATCTAAACACTTCATAGAAACGAAAATTAATGGAAACGAAAATGGATCGTAAGTCAGGGTATTAAGATTTTTAAAATGAAATATTAAATTAGTAATCATCATTCAATTAAAGAAAACTGATACTTATTTCAAGGCTAAAATAGTATTTAAAAATAACTACGCACGCAACACCATAGCGACAACCGGCACACAGCAAGGTCACTACAGTGCATAAAAGAAAGCCGCGTAATACAAAAATTATTACTTTCTCCTTCTTTCTTTGGCTTAATAACATTACAATAGAGCGAGACGGCAGGCTAATTCCGGGAATCAGAGTAATAATAACTAAACATCGAAGTCAACAAAATGTGTTTTGGGTAAGTTAGTCACGCCGCGTCCACCTTATCGAAAAGAGGTCAAGTGTAAAGTGCAAATAAAATCTTAGTCGCGCATTTCGCTGTGTCGTTTCGGTACACTAACATTCAATACATCAAATACCTACGCATGTGTCCATTGACCTCCTAGATCAGCTGATTTGACGCGACTCGACTTTTTTTTGTGGGGGCGAATTAAATCGCTAGTTTATAACACAGAGATAACAAGTGCCGAGGAACTAAAAAATAAGATAATAACCGCCTTTGTAAAAGTGAAAAGTGACATTGCAGTATTATCTAAAATAAAACCACAATTGCGAAAACGGTAATTAAAGTGCATTGAACAAGGCGGTGGACATTTTGAAAATGTTTTAAAACGACAACGCCATGCGAGTGCAAATTAAACTGTAAGTTTGTTTATGATCTTTAAATTATTGTAAATATTTTGATACACACCATTTAAAAAGGCCGACTGTGTTTAACTTTGTCGTAGGTATTGTGGTGTCTAATCAAATCACGCGTTATCAGCTGTTTAATAATTCTTATTTACAAATTTAATTTAACAAATCAGTAATTATAAAATATTGGCTTCACATTAAAAAGAAAATTCAATGTCAACAATCTAAAGCTTGAAGTGTGATGGAAAGAAAAATCATAATGTATGTAGTTATTTCGTGTACTTATTATTACCTACTTCTTATTATTGTCGGACGGCACTCGGAGAGAGGGGCGCGGGCGCGGCGAGTACAGAGTGTCGCTGAATAGCGGACCATATTATTTGCACGAAATTGGGATAACTAATTTCACAAATAAAAAATGCAAACGCACATATAAATAATATTTGGTGTATGCATTGCGTTTATATTATTATATACGCATTGGGGTATTAGAGGGTGTGCGTTAATTACGTTACACGTTGTATATGTATGTACATATGTTCCAGGTCCAACTGTGTGAGTTCCGTCGTCAGTTAGACCTGTTCTCTCGCGTGAGGGACGAACGAGTTTGTAGACTACTGGGATTATGTACTGATGAAGAACCTCACTACATGCTACTAGAACATACGGACTGGGTGAGTATATCTTTATATATATAATTCTTCTGTGAGTGTGTATGGCACTGAAATTCTCTCAAACGACCGGACCGATTTTGATGACATTTTTTGTGTGTGTTCAAGGGGATCTGAGAATGGTTTAGATTCACAATTTTGTCCGCTGGACAATGATTTTTTAATTAACTTTTAATTTATTAGTAGCTGTTGATACAAACTTTTTTTTTGACATTAGATTTGACAACTAATATGTCAATCATTCTGTCGTACTTCAAAACACGGAGATTTATGGCTTTAATAGGTAAACTCCAAAAATATAAACAAAAAAACGTAGCAGATATTACTTTATTATAGGGCGATACGAAGTTCACCGGGTCTTCTAGTATTTATATATATATTACTATACGAGCAATCATTAATATTCAATTTCAGGGTGACTTAAAGACCTTCCTAATCGCGACCCGGACCCAAGAAGAAAACGAGGAGTACATAGGTCGTGTGGGCCCTGGTCACGGCCTGCCGCCCACGACCACGAGCATCGAGCCGCTCGCCCACGGACACAGGCTGGCGCTGGCCGCACACCTGGCTGCCGCCGTGGGCAGGCTCGCCCACAAGAGACTCACGCACAGGTTGGAGAGGATAAGTCATATAAACATCGATACTTCTTCATATATATATGTACAGTAGTTACTCGATTAAACGAACTAATCGTTGTCGATAGGCATTCGGATAATCAAATGTATGAAGAAATGCGGGTTTTATATGTATGTAGTACATAATATTATATATTATGTTTATTAAAAAAAATGCATAACAATGATTTATAATCAATGTTTATTAATAAATACCTAATTAAAGGATACATTTTCTTAGATTACATACACATACATATACTTACTTGTATTTACTAAAAACTGCACATTTAATCATGAAATAAATTACAATATGTATTTGGTAATTTGCAATTGGTAACCATGAATTGAATAATAAGTTCAATTTGCTTTAAATATTTGTTAATTGTCATTTGACGTACGCCACTCTCAACAACACCACTCTCTTACGCTTTGACATTTTTTTATTTCTTGTCCGGACTTGTCATACAAATATTACTTCTTCATATATACAGTATGTAATACAGCAAATGGCGTTCCCTTGAACACGTTAATATATATCACTAATAGATTAAAATTAATATATCAGCATAGAAAAATAAGCACAAAATAATCTAAATAAAAAAATAATAATTTATTCACAATAATTTCGAAACCTCCTATATGTATGTGGCGCGGAATAGAACGTATGTATCTAGCGTAGTAGCATTGCCGAAAGTGGCAACGTCGCAATACGCACGATGCCGAGCGGCGCCTTTTGTAGTGGCGGCATATTGAATTATAAAGACACGTAGTCGGATTGTTAACAGTAAAAATAAACATTTTAAATGTATGTTTAGTTTTAGAAATAACACTTAACCCGTCTCAAATGTATTGCTGACTAAGGAACGTGTCACTGAGGTACCTATTCGCAAACAGTAAATAAAAAAAAAAACAAATTCAACCATCATATCTAAGCCACGTTTCAATAACATTACAATAATAATACAGAGAATTAGACAGAATTTGCACGCAACGGCCGAGTAATGAACGCGGGGCGGTGGGGCGGTAGCGCCTTTGAGTTCTGCCGACACGTCGCCGTCATGTCGCCGCCCGCTCGTTGTTACAAAATAAACAAATGAGTCGTATAGGATCAAAGGCGGCAATCTACACTTAGACTGAAATCAGAGAATTGAAAATTTTCGGTTTGTGTCGTCCGTTTCAAAAATGATATTACGTAACTTTATTTTAAGTGATGTAAGTATTGATGCGCTTAATATTAAACTCTCATTGTGTACTATAAAAATAACAAATTGAAGAAATTTACAGGCTTAGAATGTACATCCATGATTCAATTTATACATTTATTTTATAACAGTAATCACAATAAATAAAATAATTCAATAAATACACGGACACAAATTCGTTAGAAACTTCCAACAGACGTCATTAGATCACGTGACCACACGGACGCTTGTGATTGGTGGAATGAGTTAGAATGCCGGGTTTGATTCTTATGCTGTTGAAGATTGCCGAATTTGATGCTAAACCTGATTTTCAAAAGGGATTTCACTCCGAGATAGTCGTTTTTGTTATAAAGTAAATTAAGTACGTAACGTTATTTTAAATTTCCATATAAAAATCTTTATTTAGATAAAATGTGCAGATTGCCGCCTTTGATTCTGTACGACTCAAATACTAGTTAATACAGAAGGTCTACTCGCTGGGTACATGAATTTGCTTTACATATTAAGTTGGATGAAAGTTTATTTAAACCACAGTTTAGGCTCGCATTTAAATGATCATGGTGGTATTACACAATTTATTTACAGTTCACATGGAGGTATTAAGCAGTTTTAGGAAAGAGTTCTGAACTTATTAATTTTGTGGCACACTCGTTTAGTATTATTTTTTTTTTATGTTCTCGAAATGTTTAAGGTATTATGATACATTTAAATGATGTTAAAACTTACCTAGATTTTGAACTGCTCGATATGCTGACCTCCTCTGTCTACACATTGTTGCAATCGCCGACGGTTATTTTCGTGCACTTTTTGAAGTGAGTACGGATGCTGCTTGTTTTTCTTTAATATTTTAAACACTACGACGTGACTCATATTGAACAGGCGGCCGGCTCTTCTGGTGCTTGAACCGGGCTCCTCCTCAAAATGCCTTAGCACGTTCTCTTCCTGTCGCACTGAAATCACGGGTCGCGGGCCACCAGAACGACGCGGCACTACCGGCTCATTATTACGCATACGCACCAGGGCACTCACAATTACACGAGAATTCCGCGGTTGGTGTGCATTAGGGTACCTCTCAGCATACATCCTCAGAGCACGTGCACCATCATAGTCACACTGAGCATAAATGAGCACCATATTCACATACTCCTGGGCACTGAACTGATAACGCGGCATCTTTCACACGAAAATACGTAGACGTAGTAATGCGGAAATAATAGACGTGCGATCTCGGTCAGCGGCGTGGGATTACTAAATAGTAAATACTAAAAAATAAAATTTCGCGGCCGTTCGGGGGCGGGGTCGGGTGACACTTTAAAATCGTAGATCAATCGAATGCCGCATACGCGGCCCGTCTTTTATAAGTAAGTTGCGACGTTGCCGTTCTTCAAATATGCGTGTACAGGATGTTTCTTTTACATGTAAATTTAATATTTTTAATGATTTTTTTTAAATAAAAAAAAATAAAAAACATTTTGTTTTCGATTGGTAATATTTTTTTAGCATGTATGGATGCTACATTATTGCGGATTAATGGGAACTTGAATTGTTAGTTAACATACTGTATAATATATATTTTTTATTCCTTCTTCTACTTCAGAGACATCGCCGCACGTAATTGCCTCATAACGTCTTCACTGACCCTCAAACTGTCTTTGCCGGCTCTCACTAGAGGGCCCCACTCACACGAGTACTACAAAATGCATGACACGGTAAGCTTTAATACTTACAATACAATATATAATACACTTTCACGTACCCCACTGGAGATGTGGCATGCGCTCGGCAGTCTCACGACTAGCGTGCAGCAGAACGGTGACATGCATTGGGCTCTAGCGGGGTAATAGTGGACAGTGACTAGTTATACTTACATAGAGGATTATTGGGTCCTACACTTCTATGCTTATAAAATATCTAATAGTTATTAACTAATATGTTTTATTTCAAATTTTTTCTTATATTTTTCTAATTATTATATTAAACTAGCTTTCCGCACGCAGCGCCGCCCGCGTGGAGTTCGGTTATATCGCGTTTCCAAGAGAACCTTTCGAAAGTCTGGCATAAAAACTATCCTATGTTCTTTCTTAAGGTCAACTCTATCTCTGTACCAAATTTCATTAAAATCAGTTCAGTGGTTCAAACGTGAAAGCGTAACAGACAAACAGACAGAGTTACTTTCGCATTTATAATATTAGTAGGGATTTCAACGTATAATATGATATGTAGTTAAAATTATTGTAAAAAAAAAAATTTATTAACAGCGCCATCTATCGTCATAATGTTTAACTATTTGTTTCTAGGTAATTCCCCTTCGTTGGTTGCCCGTTGAAGCGGTTTTGGAAGACGAGTACTCCATCAAGTCTGATGTATATATGTATGGAGCTACTATATGGGAGGTGAGATATATTAAAATATACTTAAAAATATCTTAGAATTTATTTAGAGGTAGAATTACTTATGCAAATGATTTACAATTATTATTACGTATATCATAGCGACTGAATATCTTCTAAGAAATGTTAAATTTATTCATATAAAGACTAAAATATTACCATACTAAAAAACTAACCCACTAAATCAAAATAAAACGGTGTAATGGGTTTAATTTAATAACATGTGTTGGAATACATTAACTGTGATTTAATTAAACCAATCCTAATTTATTTTTGTTCATTTATTTTTTATATAAAAATATATAAAGACAAAGTTAATGCTATGAAACATTGAATTTAATTGTAAAATATACTAATTCTTAATTAAACTAATCAGTGTTATAATATATTTGCTTATATGTATTAATGCGTGTCTACATTCAGATATACACTAAAGCTGAGTTGCCGTTCGCCAAACTGAACGATAACTCTGTGTTGGAGCGACTCAGGAGTGGCTCGCTGGAATGGACCACGCCTCATGACATGCCTGAGAAACTACAGGAGTTATTGGTGAGGAACATATATATATAGGATCAATAGATAGATATACTGATTATAAAATGTGTAACTTTTATTGATTAATAGTATTGTTAGACGTGATTTTATATTACTAAGACTTGAAATGTTTTGTTTTTGTATAGAAAAGTGGAAATAAGTTAAATGTGATGTTTGTTCATGGTTTTTTTGTATTTTTCTATATATTGTTACTTAAATAATGTCTTAAATCTGATCTATAGTATTCCATAGTTTTAACGCGACATATACAATCATATAAAAGATTTATGTCTATGAACATAGTCATAGACGTACCATTAAATTTTATTTTATAAATAGTTTTCCAAAAGGTTTTTTTTTTACAAATCAGACCATATTTGAATTTTCACAAAATTCGTATTTGAATCTCGGAAACAACTTTGACAATTTTTACATTGTTTTAGTAATTCTGTTTGTCTTGAGGAAGATAAATTTATACATTTTCGATTCACTTTCACCAAATTTTTAAAAAATTACACATTCGCGCGCATTCGCACAAAAAATTACAGCTACTCCACAATAGATGGCACTGCAATCCAAGCATTAATTAGTAAATTGAAACTGACTATCATTACTATACTATACTAGACTATTTTATATAATATACATATATTTTATACATTTCAGAACCGTTGTTGGAGTAAGTCTCCCACAGACAGACCACAGTTTCCGGAAATCTGCGAAGAAATAAACAACATGATAAAAGATTTGGCGGACAACACTTCACAACACTCTGACAAGCAGGAGAAATAAACAGATGTTAGGGCGCGTACACACGGAGTAGAGATATTAGGGCGTCTACAGACGGAAGTGAGAGGAAAACAGTGATGAAAAACAAAGAAAAATAATACAAACAACGACTTTATATATAATTAGACTATTTTTTTAGACTCGAATTTGAAAATCTGTCCAAAAATTTATAATGGCTTCGATATTAAATTAAAATAATATTCATGTATTGGTTTTCGAGAAATATGCTCGCTAAAATGCATACATTCATATATATTGCATAAAAAATTAACACTATTATCATACAAAAATATTTTCTTCAGAAATAACATCATTTCCTCTCATAACTTTCAAAACGCAACCTGATTGTTAAATTTTAAGCAAATTATAAATATTTTTAAGTCAGTGCTTTTCAAAGATCTGAAATAAAAATACTAGTTTAAGGATTAGTTGAAAGAAAGTGGCATTTGACATTATTGAAGATATGTTTAGATTAATTGGATCTGTAAAATAATAAATTCTAAAATAGTAAGAAAGAAAATATCAAAATTAAAATATCTCCAAATATTTGAAAAGTAATTTTGTATTTTAGTGAACACTAGAAGTTAATGAATTTCATATTAAGACTTATATAAGAATTAGAATAATAATTTAATTTTAGTCGCATAATAGGATAGTTTTGTAGCATTTTTGAGGCATTTACTATTATTAAGATTCAAGTAGGTATAAGCAGGAGTTTCCAATTAATATTAAAATCCAATTTTCTGTTATTTAAAACATTATTTCAATATTTAATCGTCAATTTATTGCCAAAAAAATCTTCCGTTACATTTAATAGAACACTAGCTGTTAAGGCTTATAATACATTTAAATAATATAGATAATTTAACATTACTTAGTTTATAAGTTACTTGAAGTAAAAGATATTATTATATGAACACATGCAACTCTTTCCAAAGAGGGTTGATGTCAGGCAGGCGGCCGGTCGTAAAAACAATTAGCCAAAACTATTCACAACATATAAGACAGACCCTGGCTAAAGCTGGGAAATTGCCAGGTAGAAGAAGAAGATACACAAGTATATATAATTTCTTTTCGTATATATACAGAAAAAATCCATTTTCAAACATCTTTTTCATTATGATATATTTAAATTTAATACATATTTATTAATTAATATCAAATATGATAAAAAATATGCTATTTATAGAGATCTCATCAATAATATCTTTTTCATCAAATTTATAATATAAGCGAAGATAACAAAGCTAAACGATACTGCCATTGTATATAATAAGTTAAGACTGATGTAGTGTTTGAGACCCGGTGACGAGCAACGCCGGGTCATAGTCATAGTGTTGATACGTCCTTTGGGAAACTAACATCGTCCTGATACAATCGAACTAGCTTATTTAGGTATTGTATTTATTAATCTAGACAGAACTTAGATCTAGACTTAACTTAGCCTAAACTATAATATTCTGTAAGAAAATTTTCCATTGCACTATCATTTATTAGTATTGGAAAAGAATATTTTTAATTATTTCTGTATTAATTTATGTATTTTTCTTTATTAACTGTACATTATATTGATACCAGATAATGCATTTATAGGATAAGTATAGTTTTAGAATTAATAAATCTTTTCATTTTGGTTGAAAATTATGATTATGTTTTTCAAATGGAAATTATAAAATCTATTTACTTGTATGGCCAGTTTTAATTCAGTATTTATTTCTATATAAGTGTAATGAAACATTTAATATTGTAAGCGGTTGGTTGTAAACCGGCCTTCAACTAGTTTTTGTACTTGTAGTGCCAGAAGTTAGGTCACATATATTAATAAGTTAGTGCACCTAAAATTTATATATTTATTAGTAATTTTTGTAACAAAAAAATCACTTAATTGCTTGTTTTGAGTTATATTTGAGTTGGTATATATGTTTTAGGTGTTCTATAGTCAGTCAGTAAGTCAGTCATTGTAGTTATTTTCGAGTCAATTTCTATATGTAGCATTATGTATATTGTAATGTCTTTGTGTTTATAATTTTCTTGAGTGTTCTCGTATGGAATATTTTTAATGTCGGTGCTTTATTTTGGTTTTTCTTGATGTTTGTATGAGATCAATTCATAAGACTATTCTCGTTTAGCTTTAAACGCGGTTTTGTTTACATTTGTGATAGTTTCTTTTTTACTTTTGTATTCTTAGTGTTAAGACGATTGTATTCGTGGAAGGAATTTTTTGCATTACGCGATTTTTAATAAACTATAATTAATAGATATGGTCATTTTATTTTATAGAACTTGGCAAAAAAAACTTGGGTTAAAATATATATATTTTTTTTATATTTGATAAATAAAGTTTCTTGCTGAAGTGAAACTTCTTACGCGACTTCCAACAAGGTTGCATTTAATGGTTAACGTCGAAGGAGAGAGAGAAAAAAGATACATCTATACTAATATTATAAAGCTGAAGAGTTTGTTTGTTTGTTTGAAAGCGCTAATCTCCGAAACTACTGGTTCGAATTGAAAAATTCTTTTTGTGTAAGATAGTCCAGTTATCGAGGAAGGCTGTGGGCTATATAACATCACGTTACGACCAATAGAAGCATAGATATAATGGTAAATGTGTAAAAAACGGGAGAAATTATTTCATCTTTGAAGCCTTCCGTTGCGTGCGCCGGGAAAACGGTTCAAGATACACAAAAAATATGTATTAAAGAATAATAGTTCTTTTAATGATCTAAAAAACAGTCCGCGACAGTATATGTCTATCTTTTAAGATTAACTCACAAAAACCGTTTTTATGGTACCTAATTTGGTCGAAATAATTTGTTTAAGTTGTATCAACATAATAATATTAATCTTTATTCAAATAAATAAATATGTTGTTGGTTAAGAGTATTTCATTGTGAATTAAAAAAAAACATAGGTTTTATCCTGAAAATTCTACGGGAACTCAACCATCCCGAAAAGAACGGGAAATATGTGAGAAGAACCAAAAATCTGCCGGAAGTCACTATTCCACGCGGACGAAGTCGTGGCAAAAGCTAGTAAATGTATAAAATAGGAGAGAAAGAGAGAGTGCTTAAGTAGATTCCAAGCACACACGCATGTTATTGTTGCTATACAGAGTAAACAATGTGAGCGACAAGAGATTAGCTGAAACTTGTATCTATTTGTTATATATTACATTTATTAATAATATCTATTATTTTTTTAAGTTTTATTTGATACACATAAAATGTTTTTTTTACATTACTAAGGTCCACTTCTTCGCGGATGGACTCCACGCACTTTTTTTTAACTTGTTTAGTTATCCACGGTCATATATCTAGTATATGAATTTAGGCTAAGAACGAAAAAGGAGAAAGGTGAAAGCTGCAAAATTTATTGATGTGAATTTTTGATCAATTTTTAAATTTCTTATAAAAAATTATCCATAAAAAAAACAAGATACAATTACAATTATATTTTTATTTGAATATTATTTTACAAATCTTAGACCCAATAGAGACGATACAAGAGAATACTTTAAATGCAAAAAAAAATAAAACAGTCTTGAACAAATACAGCGACATAGATAATTCATATGTTCTAGAAAAATCTAGCTAAAAAAATATTAAAGTAGAACGATGGTTAAGTGAACGGATTTATTATCAAAAACCCGCGGAATAAATACAATTCATTAATTGTGAATCACAATAATATTAAGTATTGGAAGTTTAACTCGCCCGGGGGCCGAGCTTGCGGAGACAGGAGATGCCCTGGAAATAAACAAATATATAAGAAACTCAAATTAGAATTGAACAAATATACATATATATGTTATTTGAGAAGAATTACACATATAACTCTACTCTCTACTCTATTTGATGATGTTTTATGAAGTTCTACAATAATTTATTTATTTATTTATTTATTTTAATAGGAAGCCAACATAATGTACAATGATCTTACAAAGTACACTACAGTTAAAGGCTAACTCAGCATGCATTCACAAAAAAATATATATATATATATACTTATACACATATATAACAAAGCAACATATCAAGTAACAAATAACATAAAATAAAGTAGAAAAAATCCATGAAATCCTTTTACTAAAGCGTTAGCCGTAAAACTCGTTCTTAATACTGTGAATTTTTTTTGAATTGTCTTCTTCACAAGCCCATTGTATGGATGGGATATTAAAATCACCAATTACCAATGTAAACCTTTGTTTGATAATCACTTTAACGACGTTTTGTATGAAAACATCCAGAGTTTCACATATTAGTGGTGATGGAATATATACTGCGTATAATGATATAGTAGAATTTCCAATTAATATATTAACCCATAGATCCTCAATTTTAGTTTCCCAAGTGGTCATGCGATAGCTATTAATTTTTTTTGTGACCGCTATTAATACTCCCCCACCATCCAATTTAGATGTATTACTTGATTCTCTGTCTCGTCTATATACATTGTATCTATTATCGATAAATTCATTATTGTATACACTTTTATTTAACCAAGATTATAACATCAAAATCCGTATTCAGTAAAGAATTGTAAATTTCATGTGTTTTAGTCCTTATACATCTTACGTTCTGATAAAAAAACTTTCAATATATTAACCATAACAGAAAAAAAAACTTAATACTAAAATATATATAAAAAAACTAAACAAAACAAAACAAAAGATATAAAAAAAACTAAAGGTATTAAAAAACAACTAAACAAAACAAAATAAAAGATACAAAAAAAAACTAAGGATATTAAAAAAAAGCCATTGTAAACAAAACCAAAAAAAACAGAACAATATAATAATAATATATACGTATAAATTAGTATGCAACTACTCTAAAGTTTTTAAAAATTCTTTTGATTTCACGCGTATTACGTCGCTTTCAATAGATTTCCTCAAAAATATATTTCCGTTATTATTTATAATTTATCAGAAATACAATTTATTTATATGCATTAAATAAAATTTAGAGTAATTTTGCAATGTGCAAAATTACATTTGTTCAGTAGAGACATTAACTTTAATTTCAATGTATCTTGTACATATAACTGATGCTTTTGAAACTTTGCATAGCAACTATGACATACATAAACGTCATTAAAGCTTGATAAACTATTCTGTAAACTACTAGTTTTTTAAATAATGTGTATAAACTTTTATACGTTAAAAAGTGTGTTACTTATGTCCTTTAACTACAATAAATACTAAATATTACTACCAAAAAATACTTCATTTTAAAATCATTATTGTAGAATACAGTATTATGAAGTGTCTAAAGCAAAATATGAAAATGGCTAAATTGCTACATTGACCCTTATACATAGGACCCATAGATATGTATATTCTATTCAATAGTTAGCATGTATAACTGTCATTCATCCACACAAGCTGTACATATAATATATGTTAGACAGAGACACCTATATATAAGTGTGAGTGAGACAGAATCATAGTATTATAATACAAGGCACCTGTTCCATGTAGTCGTTCCTGGTCAGCCAGAAGTTGTCCCTGTTCTTGCACACCTCGGCGAGCACCGCGCCGCCGATGAACACCATGTCCTTACGGCGAGGAGGGTCCTCGATGCGGATCTTGAACTTCTGAGAGAACAACAACATACATATTGAAACATATTGTGCGGTGCAACGACTATCAGATAGGAAAATGAGAACAAACAGACAGACAGATAACGAAAATATATGCAGCAAATACACATCTATTATACATAGATGTGTATTTGCTGCATATATTTTATGTTTTGTAGCAAAAAGTTGTTATTTTAACTAAAAACATAGTACTACAATTATATTTATTTGGATATCTGTATACTCGAATGTATATACAAAATGTTTCTATAGTTATCATGTATGAAAAGATAAGAAACATCTATCAATACAAGCTTAACATCTACTAATGTATGTGTGTATGTGTATATGTACATGTCTAGCGTTGCCAGGCGTCCTGATAAAGCAAACATAGTTAGACCTTTTGATTGCATGCCCGGCCAAAATAAAGGGTGTCCGTCTTGTCCGGCTTTTGTTAGGCTTTTTACATTTCGGTTTTTACATGGATGACTTTAAAAGATGTCCCTGAATGGAATCAAGCTTCCGATACTATAAGTATCCTATCACAAAACAACATTAAAATCGACGATAGCAAATGTTTTGACCAACTGCAAAATCTTAAAAGTTTTCTGAATACTAACAAAGAGAACGTTGATTTCAAGAAGCTATTAGCACATAAGAAATGGGTAGCCTATTTTAAATCGATGATAAGTCAAGATTGCTTTCCAGAATTCCTAACTATTTGTCAGTATTATTTTTCTATCCCAGGACATAACGCAAAGTTGAAAGAGTTTTTTCCTTGATAGAACGCAACAGATTACATGTTGATACTGTCTCCAAAATGTTGGTTGTAGAATTTAATTTAAAATATTTGACATGTAAGGATTTTTACAACTACATTTAAAAAAAAACGTAGCTCTTAAAGCAGGTTTCGACAAACCAAAAGTATTAATATTTATTTCTATTGTGTAACTCATAGAGAAAATGTTTTTTTTTTTTGTTTTATATTTAAACTTCAAAAGAAGTTATTTATTTTTTTAGTAAAAAAATTCTTATTTGTTCTTAAATGAATTTAAACTTATTATATAACTCAAAGGGAAAATGTTTTTGTTTGTTTTATATTTTATCTTAAAGAGAAGTTATTGATTTTTTCTAAGTTTAAAAAGTAGAATTTGTGGCTTTCTTATTATTTAAGAAAAATGCATATATGTTGATAAATGTTTAAGTATCTAGAATTTAGTTTTGTCTGATGACTATTTGACTGATTAATAATGAAGTACCTATCTAAAACTGATTTGGTATTCGATTTTACATATTATTCCACTGGAAGATTTATGATAATAATCAAAAAGACCTGATTTTATATAAAAAAAATGTTGTACCTATGCTAAGACAAAATCCCCAATAATATAGGGTGTCCGGCTTTTTTACCCAAATGTCCAGCCAAAGTGGCTGGTCTATATGACTAATAGGTTTGGCTATCTGTCAACGCTATACATGTCTCTATATGTATGTATGTCTGTATGTGTATGTATATATCTCCTAACCGCCAGTTTGTCCGAGTCGTTCCTCAGCACCCGTTCCAGATACAGCTGTTTAATCTCCCTCTCGAGCCGGGAGGGCAGCCCCGGGTACATGGTGGAGCCCCCGGACAACACTATGTGCTTGTACAACTCATTCCTCATGTCAATGTCCGCTGCCTGTAACACAAACATATATATGTTTTTATTATATACATATTTATATGTAAAAAAATATCTAAAAAGAGCAACATTTAAAGTGATTAATTTTAAAATACAGCATTTGAATAGAATTAAGATTTAATATTAAATGTTCAGTAACATATTAAATATAGCTGTATAGTGATTGGATATAGGAACAAAACAAACACACTAGCAGTGGATTATATGTGTGTGTGAGAATGTTTCAGTAAAAAACTTATATATAAGTGTATATTAAATCTTATATGTATATAAATTTCCCATGTCGCGGTGTTAGACAGAGAACTCTTCCGAAACGGCTAGACCGATTATGATGACATTTTGTAAGCATTGAGTAGCTCTGAGAATCAGCTAACATCTTTTCTTCATACCCCTAAGTCATAAGGGTTATTCACCCTTAATTTTTTATTTTGGGGCGAAATTTTTTGTTTTTATAATGTAGCATTAAGAAATACATACAACCCAAAATTATTTTTTTTATCACCAACCCATATTTTTATATATGGCAAAATGCTCTCGGTCAGCTAGTAAATTAAACATATACAGCTGCGTGCAAAAGTATTAGGCACCCCTATCGTTAGTCACTATCTCATTATATTGCGGTCAAGTGTGTGTTTTATGGTTTAGCTATTGTATTAGCGGCAATTTTTAACCAAATTAAGATAAAAGAAAATATTTATGACATCCAGGTGTGCTCCTAAGCGGTGTTTCTTCGAATTTGCTTTTTTTGCGTTTCGGGTTATAGTGTGTTATCAGTGCTTGCAGTGAACATACACGTCTTCTACGCAACTATTCCTATCACAATTCTAAAGACTAACATTTAACGTGTTAATCATGCCGAAAAAATCTGAACTTAGTGCTGAAGAGCGTCTAAGAATTAAGATTTTACATGAACAAGGCATGTCTCAGGTTAAAATAGCCCGAGAAGTGAAGTGCTCGCGATGTGCAGTTCAATATGCTATAAATCGCTTCAAAGAGACTGGCACCCATGAAAATAGACCAAGAACAGGCAGAAGAAAAGTTACTACTGAACGGGAAGATCGATTGTTGATTAGGCAGTCTCTACAAAACAGGAAAAAAACTGCTTTAGAGCTCGCTGCAGCATTATCTGAGGCAAAAGGTAGCTCAGTGAGTGTTTATACTGTGAGAAGAAGACTTCTTAAAGCTGGATTAAAAGGATGTAAAGCAAGGAAGAAGCCGTGGCTGTCAGAACACAATAAGAAAAATCGGTTGGAGTGGGCACTCAAACATAGAGATTGGTCAGTGGAGGATTGGTCCAACATACTGTGGTCAGACGAATCTAACTTTGAGGTATTGTTATTTATTTTATGTACAATATTAAAACACATAAATGTTTTTAAAATAACGTACTGCAAGAAAAATAATAACTTTGAAAATAAATGTGTTTTTTTCGTTTGGCATAGGTGTTTGGAACACCCGGTGTGACTTATGTTAGGCGTGGTTCCCACTGTTAAGCATGGTGGAGGCTCAATAATGATCTGGGGCTGCATGGCTGCCGACGAAGTGGGCGAAATGGTGTTGTGTGAGGGACGAATGAATAGTGTTAAATACACTGAAGTTCTGGAAACAGCACTAGCAACGTCGATAACGCAAATTTTCGGTGATACAAACACCGATGGCCTGAAATTTCAGCAAGACAACGCCACTTGCCACAAGTCCGCGCATACCATGAAGTGGTTTGCTGAAAATCATATTGATCTTTTGGACTGGCCACCACAATCACCAGACCTCAACCCGATTGAGCATATTTGGTCCATTTTAAAGAAAAATATCCGCAGGCACTCGAATAGCAATAAACAAGCTCTATTGGCCGCGTTACAGCAGGAATGGAAAAATATATCAAGAGAAGAATGTTTCAGGCTGGTAGAGTCAATGCCAAAAAGAGTGGCTGCGGTTATTAAGTCAAAAGGTGGACCTACAAAATATTAATTATTTTCTTAAAATAAACCATTGTAATCATAAATGCAGTTTTATTTACACTCGCTATGCTAAAACACCCTAAAACTTGTTTTACTGTAGGGTGCCTAATACTTTTGCCCGTGGCTGTATATATCATGCGTTTTTAGATTTAGAAGTATTTTGTTTAATTTCAATACATTATTAACAGCTTGATTAATACTAGCATTAATTACTTAATACCTAAAATGAAATTAAATTTATTTTAATATATATAAATATACCTGTATAGTGTTGAATACCAGTTCAGCGATCCCTTGTCCCTCAACATTAATGAGATGCGGCTGGAACAATGCCTCGGGTGCTTCAAAACGTTCTCCGCCCACTTTGATGACCCTCCCATCGGGTAACTGGAATTATATACACATACATATAATATACACACATTAAAGATTATCTTAAAGATAATATCATTAATAATATGGAGGAAAATGTATTAAAATTTAAGTAATATACATATATACTACTAGTATTAAAGTTTTTTAGAATATTTATTAAATACATCTTTATATATAAAAGGATGTCGTGTTACACTATTTATAACTCAAGAACAGATATAGGGATATAGCTGAAGATTTATTAAATGAATACTTTGAATAAGGGAAAGGACACAAAATACTTTTCATCCCATTTATATAGAAGAAATCTTGATGAAATCCAAAATCTTCTTATCTACTGACTTTAAGAAGGAATAGAGTTTACCCGGTCAGCTATACATTTCTTATACTGAAACTAACGCAGACGAAGTCGCCGGCAAAATCTAGTACAGTAGAAATTCGATTTACTAAGTTATACGGATTCGCGATTATCCGGACTACGGACAAGTCCGGATAAGAAAAAATGTCAAAGCGTAAGAGAGTGGTGTTGTTGAGAGTGGCGTACGTTAAATGACAATTAACAAATATTCTAAACCAAATTATACTTATTTTGTTTTAATTGCAAATTACCAAATACATATCGTAATTAATTTTTTATATAAACATATAATATTATGTACCACATATGCACAAATCCAGCTTTTCTTCATACATTTGATTATCCGGATTTTTGATTATCCGAATGCCTATCGACAATTAGTCTGGTTAATAGAGTTTCTACTGTATATATATTTACCACATATGGTTCTACGAGTACAGTAGTTTCCCATGCAAGTCTTTGTTCCTGTTCCACGTTGTATCCTATGTAACATAATTTCTCCTTCATCATGCGAACCGTCTCAAAATCAGCTGAGTGGTTGAAGGCATACCCTCTTAGGAGAAGCAACTGAAAGAATATTAAACATCAAGCATATTTCACACAACTATACTATACTAGCTGCGCCCCGCGGTGTTACCCGCGGATTTCCGGATTGTAAAGTAAGCTATGTGTTATTCCTGGACGTCAGCTTCCTGTATTCAAAATTTTATCAAAATCGGTTCAGCAGTTTGGGCGTGAAGAAGTAACTAACATACACACACACTCACACACTTTCGCAATTATAATGTTAGTAGGATTTACATATTATTTACGATGTAGTTTTATATGTGGGGGATAGTGCAAATCCGCTTAACTAGCATTGAATAATTCCGCGTATCTACATTAGAAGCAGATTATCAGAAGAAAGTTTGAGCTGAAATATTTACTATATTAATGACTTTTAAGATATTTTACGCAATTAGTAATAAATTCAACACTAATTAGTAATTATACATATATGTATATAAACTACATCAAATCCACACTTGATCTATCAAATTGATCAAGTAACGTAATCAATTTTTACAATAAATAGCGTCATTTATTATGACAACGCCATCTATTTACGAGTTATACATACTAATGACCATTTACTTTTTATGCTTCTATTCACATCTTGCTTTGAAATAGCTTTAATATATACAGTAAAAATATTATGAATATTAATTTACATTGCATAACGAATATATAGATGGCGCTAGTTGACTATCATAAGAATTCCAAATAAATAGAATTATGAAGTAGACAACAATTATTTAAATCATTAAAACTAATTTATGTTATTTTTACCTTAATAAGATATCGTGTGATGTCTCTGCCAGCTATGTCCAGTCTCCGTGTGAGATGTGGCAGAGCAAACTCTTCGTAAACCGGGCATATATGGGTCACTCCATCACCTGGCGAACATAAATATTACTTAATCTAATATATAAACAAAATTAGTATATAACAAATTTGTATATAAGGGAAAACTCTGTCTTATGTGATATTTCATACCAACCTGAATCCACAACCACTCCTGATATCAATCCCTGTGCGTATAATGTGAGAACTGCTTGTATTGCTATGTAGGCACTATCAAAACCATACTTCTCAAACATAACCTGGAATATATAGAAACAAAACCTCTCATCATTAAATATATTCACGGTGCGTGTGTCGGGTCCATCGTTGGAGTGAGAGGAGCTTCAACAGTGACTGGGACTTGTGACCCAGGTGTGGGTTTAAGGGACTCTATCTAATGTTAAATGCTCACCTACACTGTACAATCTCCTCTCTCTACCTAACTAACAAATACAATTGCAGGTCTTCTACAGATGAGAGACTTAGGCCTGTAATTGTAATTTCATTTAACGAGGATAAGTTATTTTGGAGTATGTAAAAAAATTAAGAAACAAAAGAATTATTTATTCCCAAAATGGCCAATAGACAAAATAAGTTTGAGAACCACTGCAGTAGAGTAGAAAAAAATATTTTCTAGTATGTTAAATATGCTTATTACTTATTATTATTGTCCAAATATTATCAAACCTCAATCATCTTCTCCCTATTCTTAGTGGGGTTCATCGGTGGCTCGGTGAGTAATATTTTAGTTTCTTTGGGATCAATATTCATCTTACTGGGACCGAATGTGTAATCCCAGACATGACACATGTCTTCCCAGTTTCTAACCACCTAGAATATAAAAAGATGTATAAAAGCATTGAATAATTAAAACTATAGAATAAAAAATGTACAAAAGATATATTTGAAACTATGATCTCATGAGTATTGCATTATGCTTACATTTTGATTTGCACTATCAGGCTATAGAATTTAATTAGTGATTTTTTCGTTCTATTTGACTTTTATATTAAATATTCAAAATTGCATAAATATTTAAAAACACCATCATAGAAGCTACAAAGAAAACATTTAAGATACTATTTATATAAGTATAAATAAAAATATATTATTTTTTAAACACAAACATGCTCTACTAATTTTAATATAATTTTATAATAACATACGAAATATGTTAAAAATTATATACAGATTCTTAAAACAATATTTACATTTTGGGATATTTTGAAAATAAATCTATTATAATTAAGTTTCATGCCACCTAAATATAACTTACACCATTTTCCATTGGATAACTGACTTCAAGCATAGAACGGAGTTGAGACGCTTCATCTCCAACCATTAAATCCTGAAATACACACCAAATAAATTCACACATACACATCGTAACACAAAATAAGTACTCAGCAAATAAAAACCAAAAGGCTATGTACATTATCTATCTGTCTTAAGCTATAAACCTTCAGTGCATAGCCCACCATGCCATAAATATGCAGGTTGGTGATAATGCGGTTACTATGCAAATAATAAGCTATCATTCTACCACTTTTACCTGGACAACGTCCGGATCAAACATCTGGTTAGCATGAAATATCATTCATCTATATTATCCGATATTTAATAATTATTTGTGAGTACTTAAGTTAGTATAAGATTAATGTACAGAAATATATTTTTAATGGATATAAAGTTTGCAATTTCATTTAATTTTTGTCAGAATGTATATTAATTTATAATAAGTTAAACACAAATTCTATACTAAATCAAAATATAATACAGATGAATCTTTATTCAAAAACTAATGTTTATGTATATTTAAAACAAAATAATTAACACAAGTACCTATACAAAATCTGATCTTAGTTTTTATGTCAACCATTATGTATTTTTATTTAATACAAATAATATGATGAAACAATCAAATATGACTTGCTTTCTTTTGTCCAGACTTTTATAATATAAAAATTTAATACATTTTTAGTAATTAGTAATATTTAGATAAAAAATAAGTTTAATTAGTACTTTTAAAAATCACAAATAATACAAATATGTTAGAATTTTATTTAAACATTAATTCATACTAAAGAATGATGTCAGATATTTATAAAAATAATAACAAATTCATTGTTAGTTTGTTTGTATGAGAAATAAAACGATGCTTTAAAATAATATAACAACACAATAAAACCAGGCAAATGTGTCTGAAAACTTACTCCTATACACATATCCTGCAACATTAATAAGATTTATATTTTAATTTCATGACTAATTTATAGTTCTGTCAATAAATATCAAAGAATAATTGTCTATATATTATAAATACGTGTACACCTCAATAAGTTTGGAGTTAAAAAACTTGACAATGGTATAAAACCGATTTTTTCATACCTTAACATCGATGTCTCCAATTTTATTTTCCGCTCTAATAATCGGCCGGCCGACCATCGACGGGAAAATAAATGCAGGGAAGTTGCTGCCGGCGTATCCGCATTTTACGAACTGAAATATTGACAGTGTTTAATGATGAATCAGTGGCTTATCATCACTTAGAAATTATAAACGTCCCGATGTTATAAAAAACTGGTTTACTTACACCTGTGCCGTTGTCACAAACGATAACTTTTCTTCCCTGATCATCCATTATTATATTTTATAACTTAATATGTTTTTTATAACTTAAACTATATTATAAATAATATTATTCATCAAGCAGCTACACCCCACACTAAGTAACGTATTGCTAGTTGCTACTTTAAATGTCACTGTCATATGTGATTTTTGTTGATGTAGGTATATATTTCTCATTTGAGAGAGATAGAATCTGGATAAATGGTAATAAAGGAAATTCTTATGATCCTCCATAAACTGATAAATATGTTGTTTATAAAATGAAAATTAAAATAAATTTAAGGATTTTTTTTATAATAACTTAGTAACTTATAATTATATTACGGAACCATTCAAAATAAATTCAATTCTATACTGTGCTTTCTATATCAAGTTAAAATAAATAAGAATATGAGATAAAAATAAGAGTAAGAAGAATAAAGCGTTTCAAGTTTTTCTTCGATTTGATTTATGTGAATTGCTTTATTTATTTTGAATATATAATTTGTATACAAATAGATCACAACTGCCCTATAGGTACATCTTGATACCGAAATGTTTATTGTAGAAGTATTTCTTTATAATATTAAATCTCCAATATTGAGTAAAGAGTAACAGTAATTGAATAATATTTTTCGACAGTTATGAATAAATGATCTCCATTTTAATTAATAATTTATTACAGGCGTTTAAATAACCCTGGTAAAATTTATTTTTTTCTCATACAGTTGAAATATTTAATTTAAAATATTATTTCCCGACTTGTTATTTCATATTTTCTGAATATAAGAACCTTAACTGTCAAAAGTAAACGTCAAACTTGACAGATAAAAGTTTATTTTGTGTATGTTGAATTAACTTGTGCTCATTCACGTGCTAACTTATGATAAATATAGTTTTGTTTATTATAAACTAAAATAAAACAAAATGAAGCACAAAAGATTCGAAGAGAACATTTTAGTGGACGAAGCGTATACGAATTACGGTAAAGTTGATAAAAACGCTGACGAAAAAAAAGGTTATGGTATAGCAAAACATTTCGCTGATACCCTGGAATATGCGGACAAAAAGAAATGGTATCAGCAGGTTTGTGTCAGAATATCCTTTATTTATTCCTATTTAACAGTATTAGTAACTCCGAAGTAAATATTAACTAAATATATGTGATAAATAATTAATTATTGCGCAGCTACCAGAAGAGCCTTCGACACAGGGATCTATCACGCAAGAAAAAGTCGAAGAACTCCGTAAAGAAGCGAGTAGTGCTCTACATGGTGACACATTAGCTTACGAAACAAGTATGATTATTAATTATATAATAATTCCACATTATATCTTTGTATAATGGGTTTAAATATTAACTATCAAGTTTAAGACCGATAGACAACTAAAATCTGCTTTATTTACAAAAAATGTGATATAAAACGTATTTATGTTTCTAGAATCAAGTAAAACTGGTTCATCCGATCAACAGTGGGCTCGCACATTATTAACCAAAGGTACAATCGGAGACAGAGTGGCCGCAGCAACAATATTAATACAGGTTAGTATTATAGACTACTAGTTTTCCGCCCGCAGCTTCATCCGCGTGGAGTTCGGTTATATTGCTTTTCCAAGAGAACCTTTCAAAAGTCTGGGATAAAAACTATCCTATGTTCTTTCTCAAGGTCAACTCTATGTCTGTACCAAATTTCATTAAAATCAGTTCAGTGTTTTAGGTGTGAAAGCTTAACAGAAAGACAGACAGACAGAGTTACTTTCGCATTCATAATATTAGTAGGGATTATCATACCAATATCATGTTTTTGAGTTTATTTTAATATTATTTTTGATATTTTAGGACAACCCAATATATAATTTGACGGCATTAAGGAATTTAATTAATAATGTGAAACCGGCTAAGAAGAAAGATGGAATAGTTATAATAGGTGAGATAACATTTAAAATATATTTTTTTTATTATTTAGAAGTAGCATTACACTGTAAAAGTAATATTGTATTAATTAGTGAAAACTTAATCAAAATATGTCTATTACTTTCTAAGAATTTACTCCTTAGGTAAATGTAAATAAATGTATGAAATATCTGTAAATTATGTTACTATTTTACACTTTTAAATGATAATAATATGTCAAATTTATATGATTTGTGTGCTAAGTAATGCAGTGTGCAAAATAAGAACTTATTTCATCTATATTTAACAATATTTGTTGTAAATTGAGTTTAAATATGTATATCTAGATGAAATCTTATTGCATACTGTGATTTCATTGGTAGAATTGATACTGACATCTACACATTAGATTTAACCCATCTGGTTTCTCCAAATTGACATCCATTCCTAGTAATATATATAAATATATAAAGTTATATATATTGTCACTAAAAATATATTAAATTCATGATTGACAAACATCATGCTTAGTAGAAAGACAAAATGACAGAAAATAATATAAAAAAGTGGTCTGCATATTATATATATGATATCATTTAACAATATGAAATATAATAAATAATACACAACAAGAACATATTCAATGAAGGAATCTAATATAATAAAGTGATCTACCTACATTATACTTGACATGTAATTTAACTTTAATTTAATCAATTTAATTTACCTTCACCAACCAAGTATACAATACACAACATACATACATACATATATATATTTACTTACCTATATATATTTATTTACAGACGCCGTATCAGAACTATTAGTATCAGAACTTCTCATTCCTGATACAAAGCTGCGAACGTTTCAACAACATCCCTTACATGCTATCGATGAAATCACATCTGGCAACAAACAAGCCCGACGTAATGTTCTAAAGCTATGGTATTATGAGGATCAACTTAAAGAGTTGTATGGAAGTAAGTATTATTATATATATATTAAATTTTGTTATATTGTTTGTAGCTAAATATATATTAAGTTTAAAAAACAATTATCTATATAAGTAGCATAGGTTTAAAGGTGTGTTTTCACATAAACACACATATTTTTAATTCATTTTACTAAGTACATGATGTCTTGAATATTAGCCAAAAAATAACATAAGTATAATGAGTTATATCTAAAAAATATTATTAATTCATATATTAGGTTGGTCCATATGAAATGTCGGATTCTTAAGTGATTGTATAAAACTGCATATCTTTCTTCAAAGGCTGTTTATTCAATCAAAGTATGCTCCATTCGCTTCAATACACTTCTCCCAACGAGATTTTAAAGCGTAGATTCCTGTCTTAAAAAAATTTTGGTCTTTAGAATTAATAAAGTCTGATAGCGAGTTTTTTAGACTGTCTTCATTTTCATAGTATTTGCCCTCTTAAAAACAGCTCTAAATGCTTGAAAAAATGAAAATCGGTCGGCGAGAGATCCGGTGAATATGGTGGATGCTGCAAAACTTCATATTCCAGTTCGTTCAGTTTCGCAATTGTTTTGTGCGATGTATGCAGCCGAGCGTTGCACCCACTTGTCCATCTTCTTAACCTTGCCAATCTCAGAAAGGTGTCTCAATATCGTTGTATGGTCAACTTTCATTCTGATAGCAAGCTCCCTCGTGGGCTCCCTCGTGGAAGTCAGTGGTGGCTCAGTGGTTAAAGGGCCCGCCTCTCCTTGCCGAGGGCGCGGGTTCGATCCTGGCCCGGGCAAGTACCAATGTGATTTTTCCGAATCATATGTACTTTCTAAGAGTTGATTCCCAAAAGTGGGTTGATGTCAGGCAGGCGGCCGGTCGTAAAAACAAATAGCCAAAAACTATTCACAACATGTAAGGCAGACCCTGGCTATAGCTGGGAAATTGCCAGGTAGAAGAAGCAAGTTCCCTCGTGGATATGGCTGGATCCGCTTCCACTAGAGCCTTCAGGTCATCATTCTTCACAGACGTTTTGGGTTTTCCGCGCGGCTCATTTTGCAGTGAAAAATCGCCAGTCCGAAATTTATTGAACCAACGCTGCACTTTCCGATCGTTAATCGTATTCTCCCCAAAGGCTTGGTTTATGTTGCGTGCAGCTTTGGCAGCACTATTACCAAGTTTGTACTCATATAAGAAAATGACGCGAATGTCGGTAAAATTCATATCGGCAATAAACTCAAAAGAAATAACAAAAGGGAAGACCTTCGAGAAAACCTATTTTGCAGTTTCTGGCAATGGACAATACGACTATGAATGAGGTTATGCCAAAGACAAAAGTATAACGAAAACAGGGAGACAAACGTCCGCATGTAAAGAGAATCCGACATTTCATACGCACCAACCTAATATTTTCTATTAAAAGATCTATAAACTTTTATAACATGACATTTAATTATATTTAATGTTATGCATTTGTAGAAATTTCTCATAAAAAACTAAATTTTACTTGTAATTTGTACATATACTAATGTTTGTTAATTCTTCTAGCTTATGTGGAAGCATTAAACAAGTTTGCTCACGACACAGTGGATGCTAATAAGGAGAAGTCTATCAGTGCCATGTCATACCTGTTGATGCATCACCCGGAGAGAGAAAAGGTAGATAAAACAAACATACAGACATATATATATGCAAAACACCCTATACTTGAAATAAATCAAACACTAAATAAATAGTTATTAAGAAAAAAATACCAGATTTTTTAGGTAATTTTAATATAGAAAATATTTCATCTCAAACTTTCTTCTGATAATCTGCTTCCAATGTAAACGGTTTTGCAATATCCCCGACTATATGTTATTTATTTAAGATATTGTACATATCCTAGTAATAATTTAGAATGGTTTATTTTGTTGTTTTACTATCATGAACACAATTTATTAAGTACTAGCTGTACGCGCGACTTCGTGTAGAATAGTTATTTTGGGCATCATAACAATTTTGATACAACCACCTCACCTTTATAAATTATAGCTGTTATATAGTGTTCCTGGATAAAGGGTCAATTCAATAAAAAATATTTTTTCAATTCAAAGCAGCATTTCCTGACATTCGCACATTTAAATAAACAAAAAGCAAACAAACTCTTCAGTCTTATAAAGTTAATATAGATAATAAATTGAATTCAAGTTTTTTTATAATTATTAATTTAAATCTATGCGCCTTAATTGTTTATACATATATGTATATATATTTTTAATTGTTTTTCAGATGCTTCTAACAAATATAATAAATAAACTCGGTGATCCTAGTCAAACGGTCGCATCCAAAGTGATCTACCATCTCTGCCAACTGTTATACAATCATCCGAATATGAAATCTGTTGTTTTAGCTGAAATAGAGAAGATGTTATTCAGGTAAACTTTATCAGCCTGTATGGTGCGAATTGTCAAGTAATGACATAGGATTATTTATATCAAATTGGTATTTTGTTTAGGATATTTTAAAATATGTATATTTTGTATTGTGTTATGTACTAATTAATATAATTACTTTACTAAACATACACCATTTATAAGTTTTAAAAAATAAAGATAATTACATTTTTGCTAAGTGATGTTTCAGTTAAAAGTTATCATGGCATGAATTTTTTTTTTTCTATTTAAATTATACAAAAGGGGACATTAAAATTATACAAAAGGGGGAACAAAAAATACTACCAATACATATAAAATGTAAATTACAAAAGACAATAATTAAATGTGATCAAAACACTTACAAATATATTTTTTTCATACATAATACAGGTATACACAGTTGAGTTTAGTATATATATATATGTTTCAACATAGTATATATATGTTACAGATCTAACATATCCCCCCGAGCCCAATACTACGGAGTGTGTTTCTTGAACCAGTTCTTCCTCGGTAAAGATGACAGTCGGATAGCTGAGAACTTGATCAGGATATACTTCTCATTCTTCAAAGCTTCTATCAAGAAGGTAATATATACATATTAATGAGTCCTATGTATAAGGGCCAATGTAGCAATATGGACATTTTAATTTTTTTACATTAAACATTTCATAATATGTATTCTATAAAATCCATTTAAAAAAATGCATATTTGTTGGTGGAAAGACTTAGTTTTTATTTCAGTTAGAGGGCATAAGTAACACACTTTAATGTATAAAGGCTACATACATTATTTAAAAAACTAGTAAGTTCATAAAAAAGTTTATCAATCTTAAATGACATACATGTATGTCATATTTGCTATGTAAAGTTTCAAAAGCATCAGTTGTACCATATAAAAGATACATTGATTCAAACTTAAAACGCCTTTACTGAAAAATTTACGTTTTGCACATTGGACCTTATACATAGGAGCCATCGATATATATGTTTTATAGCATTATAAGTAAATATTTGTGTTTGTACTCATAAGTGCGGCACATAATGTGAGGAATTTCTATTTCCTTATTTATTAAGGAAGTCATGGCAATATAACATTTATTTTTAACAATGGATTGTAATTAAATATATGTTTAGACTTATCTCAGTTAAGATCAATCAAAATCGGTGCAGCCGTTTAAAAGGTCAGAAAGAATAAACGGATGGATATAAAAAAAATATTAGGTTTTGCCATTTAGAATGTATAGTATAACTAACAATCATTTGAATTATACAGGGTGACTGGTGAATTACTATCAATATTTTAGGAGAATACTCGGTACATGATTCTTATTCGAATTATGTAAAAAAAATAGTTACTTAATTTTTGACCAAATTTCCGTATAAATAAATAAAGTGTGGACACGTTCCAAGTGTGGACGCGTGCGGCGGCGTGCTGATACAACGCCACGCCGCCGCACGCGTATGTGTGTGTGTGTATACCTAATCTGTAGGGTGTTCACACGATGCGTAATTAATTACATAACTTTTGGTTAACTTTACTTAGAAGTTTATTAATATTTATGTTATATTAATTTTTATTTAGTCATAAATGATCGTCAAATATGACGTCCTCAAGTATCGATAGTAATTCACCAGTCACCCTGTATATATGATAGCAATAGTTTTAATCTGAACCAATAAAAAAGTGATTATATATGTATAAATATAAATATAATTCCTTCAGGGTGAAATAGATTCTCGTCTCATGTCAGCCATCTTAACTGGTGTGAAGCGAGCCTATCCCTTCGCTGACAGGGAACGGTTGGTTGAAGCATCTCAACATGTGGATGCAGTACACAGACTAGTACATCTCGCTAATATTAATGTGGCCATACATGCATTAGCCTTGCTGTATCATATAAGTGATGCTAATCAGGGGACTTCTGACAGGTTAGAAGATGATATATATGTTTATTGTTTGTTCATAAAAGATAGTTAACCTCATTTGGTAAAGTGACTAGGAAAATGTTTCAAGTTTGAATCCTGTCATGACAATATTTTTATATATTATATTTATCCGACAAAGATTATAAAAATGTATAAGTTTCACTTGCATAACTACATATTATATCATAGTGTATCTTTTTTACTTTATGATTTACCATACTTTAACTCATTCAAGTTACATTATTTACCAGTCAAATATTTTTAAAGAAAAAAATTCTTTATCGTTTTTTAACATATTTGTACAGAAAAACTTCAATATATATTTTTAAAATTTATTAAGATTTATCAACTAATATCACCATATATTTCAGATACTACACATCATTGTACCGAAAACTGACCAATTCAAACATATTCAATACTACCCACTCTGCATTATTCTTCTCACTCATATACAAGTCGTTGAAGCAGGATAAAGATATAGATCGTGTGACGTCATTCATCAAGAGATTACTACAACTAGCATGTTATATGAGCCCTGGGCAAGCTTGTGGAATGTTATTCCTCATATCTCAAGTATTGAAGAGTGATGATAAGAAAGATGCTATTAAACTGGTGTTTAGTGAGATTAAAGAGGTACTTATTATAAATAATTGTTGTATATTAGTGATTTAAGAATTTTGTTTAATAATTATAGCATGCATATGTAGTAGATATCGGACAGCGCCATCTTTCGTCAGTGAAACGTGATTTTATACGAAATACAACTTTGTATAGTCTGTTAGACTTAAGCTGAGCTTTGCATGTGTGTGAGTGAAAGTAAAAGTAGAGTTAGACAAAAAACTTTTATAATAACTCTTATTATATTTTAAATAGATACATAACATAAGTTCGAGAGCTATTTGAGATTACATATAAAATAAGCAAAACTTGTAAAAGGCCATATAGAAATATTATGGAAAAAAAAAAATTAATTAATTATTTTTTTGAAAAAACTATTCAAATTCTTCTATAATTGACATTGCGTTTTCAACATTTGACATTGCTACCAGTACAAAGGATGAAGTGAGGAAGGCGCGGGGGGCGGAGTAAAAGCAGAATAAACCAGTTCAAAACTAGAAAAGAACGTGGCATTCAATAATTTGACATCACACCTACACTATCCGTGTGCACGCACACAAATGCAAAGCTCAGCTTAAATGAAACGCACTATACCTAGCTATGTATAAAATAAATTGTCACATCTACAAGTCAATTTGGTATCTAAGGTAAAAACTGGAAAGATTTATCAAAATCCGTTCAGTAGTTTCTGATTAAAAGAGTAAAAAACATTTATACAAATTCATAAATTTATAATATTGGCATGTTTTTAAACATATTTCTATCTTGATATAATAAAATCATAATTTTAATAATTTTTAATTTAATAATACTTAATTTGGTAAATTGAAACACTTATAATTTTAGTATTTTTATTATAATATCATAAATCTTCTACCAGGAAATAAAAGAAGAAACTGAAGCTAAAAATAATGAAGATATTCCAGAAGAATTAATACAATCAGAAGTTGAGTTAGATGAAAGTAAGGTTGCTGCCGAGGAAAATATTGAACAGAAAAAAATAGATCTCTTAATAGGAGATAAGAAAGATTTGTTAATGGGTTAGTTACAGAATTATATATATCTTATAAATTTGTTAAAGGAAACATAATATTTCCTGAATACATACATAAATTTAATACTAAATAATTACTAATTGTGAAAAAATTATCTTAAAAGTCGTTAATATAGAAAATATTTAAACTTTCTTCTGATTATCTGCTTCCAATGTAGATACGCGGAATTATCCAATGCTAGTTACGTGGATTTGCACTATCCCCGACGATATATACATATAAATATAAAATGATTTTACCCAAATCCTATATATATGTTATACTTTTATATTATGAAAACTTTTATACAATCATTTATTTTGTATTAATAGATATTTTCTTGTAATTTTACATTGTCAGGAGTTAAAAGCAAAATAATTTAAATCTACTTTAAATATGTATTACAGATGATGAAGAAGAAACTTACGTTGACCTCAAGATAGATGATGAAGGTAATATAAAGCCTAAGAAGAGAAATAAAAATGTTGTGGCCGGCTGGTTCCATGCTAGAGTGGACAAGAGGGACGTAGAAGAAAAAGATGTTGAGAAACAGTTGAAGAAGGCTATTAATGTTGGAAAGGTTAGTTATATATATAATATATATATACTAGCTTTCCGCCCGCAGCTTCGCCCGCGTGGAGTTATTATATCGTGTTTCCAAGAGAACCTTTCAAAAGTCTGGGATAAAAACTATCCTATGTTCTTTCTCAAAGTCAACTATATATATGTACTAAATTTCATTAAAATCAGTTGAGTGGTTTATGCGTGAAAGTTTATCAGACAGACAGAGTTACTTTCCGATTTATAATACTAGTAGGGATATGTATTTTTGTATATAATGAGATATATGATTTTCAAGACTATTCATTAAAATAAAAATATAATTAATTAGGTTTACTAAGCATTTATGATTTATTTTTAACTACTACCGTTTCGGTTACTTTGCATTAACTGTGATCACGGACAGACGAGATGTGAATGTCGTTATTTGTATGTATGAAATGTATTGTTTTTAAATAACAAATCAAACCTTAACCAGAATAAAATTATCTTAAAGAGTTTGAACTAATTATTATCTTAAACCAAAACACTTTAAATAACTTAAATTCAATTTACAAAGACACTCGCAAATCGCATCTACATATACTTTCCCGCGTAAAAGTGAACAAAACAAATCTCATCGCTTTAATGTCGCTTCGGGTGCATTCGGGAGTTTTTATGTTTCAGTTCGAATTAAATTTGTGTTTCCTAAAGATATATATATACAAAAAGACCCGGCGAACTTCGTATCACCCTATATTCAAGAAATACCTGTTACGTTTTTTTTATTTATATTTTTGGAGTTTACCTATTAAAGCCATAAATCTCAGTGTGTTGAAGTGCGACAGAATGATTGACATATTAGTTAGTTGTCAAATCTAGTGTAAAAAAAAACGTTTGTATCAACAACTACTAATAAGTTAAAAAATAAAAAAAAACATTGTCCAGCGGACAAAATTGTGAATCTAAACCATTCCCAGATCCCATTGAACACACACAAAAAATTTCATCAAAATCGGTCCAGTCGTTTGAGAGAAGTTCAGTGACACACACTCACAGAAGAATTATATATATAAAGATTACAAGCAAAGGATTTCAATGGCGAATATTAATAGTGTTATTGTAATTATTTAATTAATTTCTAATGAAGAATATTTCCTTTCCAGACAATAACCACTTATAATCCACTATGCCGTGATCCTCGTTTCACCGGATCACACTTGACAGCGATGGCTGAACTTACTATGTTGATAAAACATCATCATCCGAGTGTCAAGATGTTTGCTGAAAAATTACTGAATAGTATGTCATTTATCATATATACTAGCTGCGCTCCGCGGTGTTACCCGATTTCCGGGATGTAAAGTAGCCTATGTGTTATTCCTGGACGTCAGCTTCCTGTATACAAAATTTTATCAAAATCGGTTCAGCCGTTTGAGCGTGTAGAAGTAACAAACATACACATACAAACTTTCGCAATTATAATATTAGTAGGATATATGTGTATGTGTTTGTGTGTATGTATGTGTGTATGTTAAATCCCCTTTTACATAGCTCAGTATAAGATAATTACATGACATTGGAAATACCACTAACTAAAAAATAAGTGAAGTATATATATGTTTTAAAATATTCTGTCTAACTAATGTTAGCAATGAATACAGTAAAATTAAATGGACTAGACATCTCAAAATTCAAAAACAATTGATTCATATTAATATAAATTTTTCTATTACTTTTTGATGAATTAGCTAAAAATAATTAACAACCAAAAAAAAACAAAGCTCAGTCAAAAATCGTAATCATTTATAATATTGTGTCTCAACCAATTAATTTCTGTTATGTCTCCACAGATCAAATAATCCAATATGGCGGTGATCCTTTGAAGGATTTCTCCGGTATCCGTTTCCTGGACAGGTTTGTGTTCAAGAATCCAAAAAAACGCACCGAGGTCATTGACGGAGAGGTTAAGAAGGTCAAGGGGTCACATCCAAAATTCGCTGTGAGGAAGAATTATACAGCCAAAGGTATTTTATAAGGCAACTTGAAATTTTATGTCTATTAGAAAATCATATATTTATTTATTTAGATATATAAGTAAGAAAATTTACTATGTTATAGGTTTTACTGATAGTATTGATGTTTTTTTTCTTTAAAGTGTATCTGTACTTTTGTTTTATTAATTTATACATTCGTAATAAAATGATGAAAACACAGCATACAGTCGATTTTATAATTATTTTAGGATAATTAGATCTGAGTTTCGCGAGTATTCATTGAAATAATATTAATATTTTCGTATTACAAAATATTAGTTCTATTTTTGGATAATTTATTTGGAATAGACAACATTAATTGTAACCTTTTGAGGTAAATGAATAGTTTTAAGCCAAACATGGAACGATCCAAATATTCTTCAAACTTCCATATTGTGTCAGAAGAGAGTAGAAAACCTATTTTTATATATTTATCATTAAAACTATATATCCTACACTAACTTAAATTTCTTTTGCATCACCTCAACTTTCCTTGAGTTATATAGTGGTATCATAATAATGATATATTTATTTTATGGTATATATGTATATAGAGTAACTGAAATTTGTTATAATTATAAATCTATCCACTCATTACAGAAGTATATAAATATATGTTTGTTTCCAGGCATCCGAAGTATTGCTGTTAATTCATCAACATATTTGAATGAAGATGTCAAGAAAATTCCTGTTGATGAAAGATTCTTATATGAGTGAGAAATCATATTTTATTTGTTAATTATAATAACTTTAATAGAATTTATTAACATGTATAATATATATGATTTGGTTTTTAAGTACATATGTATTTGTTGTATAGCTGGAATGATTTTAATCCACCATTAACTAATATATAGTTAATTTTCTACAGTACTATTTAAAAAAGTAATAAAAGCTTATAAAAATATTTTCTGTTAATTTGATAAAATATTGGTGATAATTTTTATCAAATAATATGTATATTGTATATAGTAAAATTACATTAAGGACAGTTTTCTTTATAATATTAGTATAGAACCTTGTTTATAATTCACTATTATTATTTTTTTTACTGTAAATAAATTAATATATGTTAATTTTGTTCTAGTTTCCTTCAAAAGCGTCGAGCTGCTGTTGATAGTGATGAGGAAAGTGACAACGACTCAGTGACTAGTGAAGATTTTGAGACTTATTTGGATTCAGTCACAGGAACTAAAGCACAGGGTTGGTTAAATAATACTTAGAAACAAGATCAGTATTGACTTTCTCAATATTTGATACATATAAATATTAATTTATTAAAATTAAATATAAATAAAAACAATTTTAGATTAATAACTATCAACTGCCACGAATAATTTTATAATGCAATGAAATTTTAATAACACAAACGATACTTTTAAACACCCAGAAATACGAATAATCTGTGTGAAAATTACTACCAACCTGAACTATTCATTTTAGAAAAGACTTTAAGTAATATAAGACTGTTATGAGAAATATAATAATAAACCCGTCATAAAGAAACATCCATTACTTTTTTTATTAGTAGTTAAAATTATTAAATCGCAAACTTACTTGAAAAATATTTGGACAAATAATACATATGTGCATTAAGAGATTTTAATTCTAAAATTTCATATGTTCTTCCATTTTTCTATAATTTTAAATGAACAATTAACATAACATAATACTTTATAAGTATATACACATTTTATTAGGATTATAATCTCATTAAAAATTTTCAGAATCCGATGAGGAATTGGATTATTTGGGTGAATTGGAATCAAGTAAACAAAAACGACCGAAGAAATCTGATGATGACAATGATGATGTGATGAGTGATGATCAAGATGAAGATGGTTAGATAATGTATCATATATGTATAATTATATATCTATCTATCTATATATATATAAAAATGAATTGCTGTTCGTTAGTCTCGCTAAAACTCGAGAATGGCTGAACGGATTTATCTTATCTTAGTCTTGAAATGTTCATGGAGGTTCAGGGAATCATTCTGTTCGATTGAAATGGGAAAAATTTAATAAATACAAATACCTGGTTATTTAAGACGGAATAGAGTTCGCCCGGTCCGCTGTACATATATTACTATTGACGAAATTAACGCGGACGAAGTCGCGGGCAAAAACTAGTAAAATATAAAAACAAAATGTATAAAACATTAAAAGAAAGATAATTTTGCTTATATGTATATATATAATATATGTATGATAATTTTATATATTAATATAATGTATGTTTTCTATTATTTTTTATTTTAGATGATAGCGAAGGAGAACTCAATATATCTGGTGATGAGGATGAACCAGTACTCTCTGGTGATGAAGATGGTAATACATTGTTGCAATACATTATTTAATATGTGAATTTTATTTTTTTTATATTATTTAAATTTAGAAATAGTTAATTTTAGGTTGACAACATGTAGTTATACTAATAAAATAAATTAAGCATTCAATATGTACATATGTACTAATAATAGTTACTTAATTTATTAATTTAGACATTTAAAACAGTATTAAGATTTTAACAATAATAATTAATTTGTTACTTAGTTATTCTTTGTATACAGTGTTAAACAAAATTTCATCAGAAAAGAAAGTTAAATTTGTTTATCTATTTATTATTTCTATATAATCTTTTTTCTGTTCAGAATTAATGTTAGAAGACAGTGATGAAGAAGACCAGATTGATATACCGGGAAAGAAATCCAAAAAGAATGCTATTAAATTAAAAGGTAATACTTACTTATTGTATGAAAACAAAATAACATATATATACATATATGATTTTAAATATTCCATGAGAAAATTACAATAGTTATTTATAATAAAAGGATAACTTATAAGTATAATTTAAATATGTTTAAAAACAGGTCACGAAAATCTTGGGTCACTGTTTGCGTCAGCCGAAGAATTCTCGACGCTTCTAGAAGAGACAGCTGCGAATAAAAAACAAGGTTCAAGCCAAGCTGTATCAAATACAGACAATTCAAGCACAAAACAACTAGCTTGGGAAGAAAAACGGGATAGATGGATCAAAGGATACAATAAGAAAATATTGGGACACAAGAGCAAGGGCAAAAAATTCAATAATAAAACGAAAAATGTCAAAGGCACTAAAATGTCTGATAGAAATATTGGCGGGAAACGAAAAGGCGGAAAAACTGACGGCGTCGGTGGAAAAAAGAAGAAAACAAAATAATTGTTACATGTATTGCGAATAAATGTTCAAAACCTTTGTCGTATTCGTTTTTTTTCTTATTAAATAGAATGATTTCTTATTAGAACCATCATTTTCCTTAAAATAGAATAGTCAATATTCCATGAACACTCATTAAACATTTGTAAAATAAATTGACAAGTTTATTTAAAACCTTCATTTTAAAGTTTTAGAGGCCGTAAAGAGATAATGTGATGTGCCTGGATAATACAGGGCTAGGTTTTAAGCGACGAAAAATCTATTACTGCGACCTTGACATATAGAGTTTCACAGGTGGCGCTGCGTATTCTATACTGCGTAAAAACTAATAAGCGAAAATAAATCTTATTACACTGATATAAGGTTCATTTAATAATTGTTCAAGAGACGTTTGACAGTTGCTAGCATGTACAGTGCACCCAACAGGTGTTGTTTTGAAACGTCAAATGCTGTGCAAGCAATTTTGAGCCGGACGCTAGAATTTAAACATGTTTTTCAAATAAAATGATGTGTATTTTCATTAATAATGAATTAATATGTCATAAAGCGGGTTCGTAACTCTTGTTTCGTGTAATTAGCTTGTAATAGTTCGACAAATTTACTCAGAGATATCGCACAAGAAGAACAGACTACTTCGATGGCGATAGTTTGTTTGTTGACATTAGTACGTCATGCAGTTGTCTCGTGAAGCGCGGTAGAGCGCGGCTTCTCATATTAGATACATACATTTACATCCAAAATAAGCAGTGTTCTGTATAGAAAGAGTAATATTGTGATTCGTTGACACATTGAACATATTTACGTTGTACCTTGTTTGTGAATGAACAAAAAGAGCGGGCAAAAATCAGTGCAAGTGGCGATTGTAAGCTATTTATAGCCGGACCTATGGCGCGATAAAGTTGTTTTACGAGATTACCGTATTCCTATGTGACAGTACAATGAAATGAGCATTCCAATTGGATTTTATCTTTCTATTATATTGTTTGTGTCTCCATCTTGGATCTAATTCAATCGCTTCATAGAAAATTAAGGCGCCGAAACGAGTTTGACAGTTCACAGGCGCACACAAGCGCAGTCCTAGATACACGTGTGTGTGTAAATTGAGCAGTGATGTGAAATTCTTGCGCTTATCGATTAGCTAGATAATTTCAAGGACATTATTGAATACCGAGCATATAGAACACGGTACATCTTATTGTATGTTATGCTAGATATCGGATTACCTTGCCGCGTATTATAAATAAATATGGAGTCCTCACAAGTCCTAAAAGAAACTGGTGACACGACGCGTACCGCGTCAACGTCGAGCTCCAACCAGCTATTTATGTCTGAAAGCTTAGATTTACCAGACGATACATTCCGTATGAGTTTAGATTACATATCCGTAATTGGCGAAAACGTTACTATATGCGACAGAGAAACGTCCGTTGACAGTGAGGCTAACAATTTAGTTATAGACACACTCACACCCTGTAATACACCCGTCGAGACTAACAAAGATATACAGACAGAACCTCCACTACAAGAAACACCTAAGCGATCTGATGATGTAAAAACAAACAAATCATTATTAAAACTGTCACTAACAAAGAATATAGACGATGGTTTTCTTAAACCGTCTTCGGTAGCCGAGATTATGTCTCCCGCTAAAATGCTCCAATTCGAAGTGGATTTTGCTAAAAGTTCAACTCCGACTATGAAGAGAGCGGCGATAGATTTCAACTTCTTCGGCGAGAATAACTTCGAAGATTCCGACGACGAAACAAACGCTGGCATTGAGGAAAAAGATCCCAAAATGTATAAAGAAACCCCAGTTATCGTCAAGGCTAACACCGTCAGACATCAAATCGAATACGGTAAGCAATCCAATTGTATATTTCTCTATTATAAATTTATTTAAATGTATTATTTTTTTATTTCAGGATGAGATTTTCTATTTTATGACGTTGGCATTATAACGTTTTGAGCGACTTAATAAAAAGAGCGGGAAAATTGTATCTGTCACAATGACGTGAAAAGATTTTAAAACCATGAATTCCTATTTATATACGTAAAATATATCTGTTATGTAAACAAATTATCTAAATTGTTATCACAGTACAAATGATTATAGTTTTACTATTGTTATATAAATATTTAATATGTTATGAATGGTTAATTTCCTTCCTTAAATGTTATTAAATAGAAGCTAGTTCACGAGAGCGAGGTTTGAACCTTGACCACAATAGCTAGACCTACATCGGGGCCGCGCCCATTGAATCTGCACTAGTTATTGTCTGATAATTAAAATTTAATTATTGGATTCTCCAAATATATATATCTATATATTATCTATCAAATTATGAGTCATATTTTGGTAATTTAGTCAACTTAAAACGATCGATTAGATACTTTTAATTTTGAATCAACAGAGGTCAATCAAGGTATAACAAATTACATATACAAAATTATTATTAGCTTCTATTTCATTTATATTAAAGTTTGATGCAATTATCTATAATATCTGTCTCTGTCTACAGCATCCTTGTATCATATTCGTTACCAATGTCAAGAATTCGTGATACTCAAACGATTTTATTATTAAAATAATGTTTTTTTCAATCCTAGTAAATTTATAGCGCATATATAAAATGGTTGGTACACAAATATCTCAGAAGTTATATGTTTAATAACATGCCTTTCGGTATACTAATTAACCGCATGGTCACACGAAATACTATGAAGTTATAAGATATTTCATAAATATTTGTTACCAAATCCTTAATATAATCTGTGTGAACAACAAAAACAAAAAAGGTTTTACTTGTCAACATATAAAATACAGCCAAATTCAATACTATACATTAAATTTAATATATTTTTATTCAATTAATCATTTATCAAGCCCCTGAACCATCGGTACGTGAATTTTCTAGAATATAAACTGTGAACGTGCGATAAGATTAGTCTCTACATTCTTATATATACAATAATATTAAACAATCAGACATATATCTCGTTTAATAAAACGATACGTGCCGCTTTCGAGGGCGAAGGTTTCTTCCGCATCAGCTCATACGTTGCCATCTAAGACTATGCAGATTTTTTCCTCATGTTACAAAACCTTATATAATATATTGGTAGCGAGAATTAAGGCTTTGAACGCAAATATATATAACACGAAGATGTAACCTAGATTCTCATTATATTATAGATCTAATTAGTTATTTTATTTTAATTATGCTTTGTTTTATTATGGATATTGTTAAAAATAAATTATAATAACTTATATGTAGTTCAATGTCAACAGACCTTAAAAATTATATGTTCAAAAAATATATTTAGAGTTTTATATGACTTTCTCAGTTCCTTTGTGACAACATAGGTACTTTAAAATATTCAATATGATAACATTTAAATGTGATTTTTATTCAGTATAAACTTTAGAAATTATAAAAAAATACATGTTCGTAAGTGACAAAACTGAACATATATAACTAAATCTATTTATTTTGTAAGTAATTAAATAGAGACAGATTATAAACGTAATCTACAAATCATTGCAGCTAATAAACTTTCACTCTACCATTTTAACAATACGAAGACTTAAGTAACAGAAATATGAAAACTGGGACAGATATTTTATTACTAAAACAATTAACATACAATCAAATAATATATGTATAGGTATACTTCTGTCTAATTCTTTAGTTTTCAATATATCGGTTATATTTATGATAAAAATAAAAATGAGATTATTAATATGAGAATCATGATTATTATAATTTAATAATACAAAACAATTGAATATAGTTTTCATAATAATAAGAATAAAGTTTAAAATACGCTAATTAAAGTTATCTGTGCTAACGGTTTCTTGAAGCGAAATCAAAATGGCGTTGGCGCTCTTTAAAATAACAGCTGTTTAATTTCGTTTGTGATTTTCACGTGTTTTTTTAAATTTATCGAGTGATAGATTATTTTTACTTTCGAGTTATGTATGTCATGCATTGTAAATGGATTATTTTTGTATATTCTTACCTTTTTATGTAGCTAGAGTACAAATAATTACTACTAGCCTTGATGTTTCAAAAATTTCGTATCCATATTAGGTACATTTCTTTAAAATATCACGAAAAGAAGAAATTATTGAATTATATTTATATGAAAATCATATTTTGAAGAGAAACAGTATATTTACAAGCCTAAAATAACCCGAAATATTATAAAGAATGGTTTGAATTAAGAAAATTTCAAGAAGTTAAATGATACATTTTTTGTATTGAATAACACGATTTAAATTAACACAACTCAGTTAACTATTCAGTTTGTTCGTGGCCATTTTAATACTTATATAACGCTTTCTTTTATAAAGACTTCTCGGATACGGAGTCTTTGAAAAATTTATAAACAACAATAAAATCTTTATTAGTCATAGACGTTAAACAAACATTTCCTAGAAAACAATAGTCGCTATTACCTAATTAAACTAAATGGTGATTACCAGAACTACTTTTGTTTTCCATTTCGTTTCTAACAGCGGTAAGTATCGATATTACACTTTACGAAATCAACATGCCTATTGCCTAATGACGAAAGAAGTTGAAAAGCACAAACAAGTGACTGTTTAATGAGTTCCATTAGAAAAAAAAATGTTTTTCCTCGTCGATCAACAATGAGTATCGCCTATTTAACTTCCAAGGCAATATTATAGCAACAAGTTTATAAATAATGTACAATTATTATCATAGGTGATATTGAATACAATACTTCAATCCCTTTTTTAATTCGAACTCTTCAAAGAATATAGAAAGAGATGCGAGTAGTTTGGGCTTTCGTTATGCTCTTGCATAGCCCGTCTCTTTCTATTCGATAGATAAGCGATATGTCTGTCTCGTTTTGTTTACGTCCATGAAACGGTGACTTTGTAGTACATAGCAGAGATAACGATTGTTATAATGGGGGTTCTTTAAATAGTTCAGAACTGTATTTTCGATGATAAGTGAAAAAAAAGAACAATTTGACTATCACGAAGGAGATGTTTAAATAATATTATAAGTTTAAATAACAACTTAAAAATATTTTGCTTAAAAATGACTTTTATAAATATATATTTGTTCTTTATTCTACAAAAAATGTTTGCATGTCAAAAATCATAAATATTTAATGATAAATAAGTGAGCGCTATGTTTTATCTGTATCTCTGTCATATACTGCCTGGCCTCGTAAATCGTATCGTAGTGGGGGCAGCGCCTCTCGCACGTCGCACGGTTTCTATTTTGCGTTTCTCGAATTCAGTTTAGTTACTTTATCGCGTTGAGTGGAGTGTCATTCGCGCAAGCATTTTTTAATTTATATACATAGTGTTTAGGGTAGATTTTTTAGGCAGACCAAACATTTTAGTGTTAGTGAAACATACATAATACAAATTGTCTGAAGTGTGTAACGGACTGTAACGGTAGTGTAGTGATACTTTTTATACGGAACAAGCATTCGGATTGTCGCGGAAGACACCACACGAGACTAGGAACTAGGCTGTGATCATTTTTAAACACAAGAAAGCAACGTAATAAAGTGAATATAAATTTGACATTTCACCGATGCGAAGTAGCTCCGAGTGACATTGACGTGGTGGTTCACGTAGGCGCCCCCTCGCTTATACACAGTACAGTTATATTGGATTTTTAAATCGGTCGGATATTGTCGCAGCGGCGCCCTCTGCAGACCGGAGTCACTTGAACTTTGCACAAGTCCACTGCAGGTTTGAGTATGCTCGCGAATTATATTACGTGTCGTGTTTACTTTCGATACATCTGAGACGATTCAAACTAAACAACGGTACTTTAGCGCAGCCCGTGCTGTCCGGGCTACATGGTGTTGAGTGATTGAGCCATGGCGACTGCAGAGATGAGTCTGCCTGATAAAAAACCAGAGCACGAGTCGGGATATTACGAAGGCAGCGACCAGGAGGGCAGCATGGAGTGCGGGTGCCCGTCGCCCGTCAGCTCCAGGAACTCGTCACACTCGACCAAACACAAACATCGGCATAGTCACAAGAAGAAGGTGCCTCCAAAGAAATTTAAATCCGACCAGCAAGTGAATGGCCACATGCATATAGACAAAAGTGTTGAAATTGTTGAGTATACAGTGAATGTGAAGGATAAGGCAGATGAATTACCCCCGGTAGCTGGGCCCAGCAAGCGGAGTAGCTCCGTTGAGCTCATTGGAAGCACGGTCCCCCCTCCAGCCAGAGATTCCATCGACTGGAATCTCGTTGAGGCCAGTAAGATAAGGAAAAGAGGAAAAGGTTCGTACATATTAAATAAAATAAACTTTTAAGAACTTTTTGTATACTTTTACTTCAACAGTAAAAGATTATATATATTTTGTACGCACATATAAGTTCAATTATATTGAGAAATAGTTTTTATTCTTTAAATAATGCTTAATTAATATCTTTATCAAGTTAAAGTAATGGAAAAATAAATCTTATGTATCAAATTTTGTTACAATTTTTCTATCTAATACTACTAGTAATTCTTACCATTTTAATGTTTCATAATAATAATAAAATTATATATAACTATAGTTTTAAAGTTGTAAAAAGTTTCTAGATAAAGTAGATTGAATAAAATGGTAGCTATTTTTTAAGGAGATATGCACTGTGTCTAGACGATGTCTGAATAGAGAAAAGATTGGTTGTTTGTTATGCAATAATTCTACATCACAGACAAACACACACATACATATACATACACACATATAATTGAATCATACATTATTCAAATATATATTTTTTGCCATAAAAATAAAAATGCTTAAGCTTAAGCAGTGATTGTATATTACAAAACATTACATCACTTATCTTTATATTTAAATATATCTCACTTCTTTTTATCTTACATATATATATAATCTACAAGATATATCTTTTACTCAATCTACACAAAAATTTGATAGAATATATATATATATATGTATATAACTAATGTTAATACATCATGTCATTTGCAATTTCTTGGATTACTTTTTTATTTATTATATTAGAAAACAAAATTGATTGGTGTAGGAATGTTATTTGCCTTCTTTAGAGACATTAAAATAAAATCAGAAAACTGCTAATTACATTAATAAATATATATACATACAGTGACTGCTATATACACATATATAATAGGATTTTAGGGTGTTTGAAATAAATAAAACAATGCTTTTTTCTAAAACTTGAAAACTGTTCAATGTCTACAAACTGGTATAATATACTAAAATTATTCTACATATTATATACTTACAATAGAATTTAAAATATATCAACATATGTAACACATGTATTTATAATATACAATGGTAGGATATATAGAAAAAAAAATACTTAAGACTTACAAATTAATTATTTTTTTAAATTTTAATATTGATCAAGATATATAAAAATGTTCTACATTATTGAATTTAAGAAAAAAACTAACAAATGAACTAAATAAATTTTTGTTTACAGAAATTAGAAATTATTTAGTATAATTATTTAATATTTCATAGACATATTAATTAATAGTCCTGTTTACATTGAAGTTTGTTTTTAAACATTTAAATTTACTTAATTATCTACATAATTTTGTTATATTAAAATGTAATTAAATTCCTAATTAGCTATACAATATTGTGTTACAATTTTTTAACTTAAAATAATGAACACAAATATTTTTAATGCATTTATTATAGGAAATTAAATAAAATTACAACTGTTTATTAACAGAATATAACAAATCAAATTTAATAGGAAAATATTAAAATATGCAATACAGATATAATCCTAATGAAAATAATTTAATAATTATTAAGTATTGACTTAAAAAACTAGAGTAACATATTATTTTAACACCATTTTCAATATAATAGTTGAAAATTAGTTTTACTATATCAATACTTAACATAGCATTTCAGGATCATACAACAATTTTATCTCGATTTCTATACAATTGAAAATAATATGCCAATGCAAAGACAAACATACATAAAATCTTTTATTATATATTGGCATAGTACATATCTCCTATTCATTTTTTAATTAAGAAAATTACTTATAAGTACTTATCCAAATTGAGAATATTTTAAACCTCTACACTTTTGTCATATGGAATCATAAAATATATTTTTTTGTAAGCTACAATATTCTATTTTAAATATAAACAAAATACACTACATTTAAAAATTCAAATTACTGTGAATTAAAATATATGTGGTATCTATTGGTTTTGTACTATTATCCAATGTTAAATATTATGTCTTAAATTAGTTAATTCACCCCAAAAAATTATTCTTCATTGCCTGAAATATTTTTTGTCTTGATTAAAACCATTATTTATTATTATAACAAGATTTGATAATTTTTATTTTGAACAAACTTTAAATGGTCCATGTATATATTAAAGTAATTATAAATTACAACTAGTAAAGTTACAACTTTAAATCGCAACAGAATTGGTAGTTTTTCACTAAACTCATCAAGTAAAACACGATTTACTAGCATATTTATATAATAAAAAATAAATTAGAATAATTTCTTATATACCTTATATTCAATGTATGCAATAAGAAAAAAAATAAATTTATATGTAAAATTTTTTTAAAGGAATAGGACCATTGTTACATATTTGTCATTATAAATTTTTATAATGTTTTATTCTTAGTAAATGATTTAAATATTAAGAGTTAATGAAAAATTTAATGTTTCTTAATTATTTAACATCAATAAATAACATAATTACTTATATAATTTATTAATTACTTATTCTGTCCTTAATGAAAACCTTTTTTGGTTTCAAAAGTCCATAAAAAGGAAAACAAAAAAAGGGTCTTCCCCATTAAATGTTGTTTAACGATGATATTTATGTGTGAGGCATTTAAACGAGTAATTATGGGCCAAAAATATATTATGTAATTTAGGAAAATAATTAATTAAAGATAGCTAAAAATCAATTTAAGGAAATTAGCTTTTAAAAGGAAAAAAACGTATCGAAATATGTCGATCTGTTTGAGAACGAAAGACATCGAAAAGTATAACACTCGTCTTTTTGAGTTTGGGCTTAAAAAGTATAAGTCATTTTAGTTGTATGTGGAAGTAGTCATACTTTTAGATATTTTTCATAAACTGACTATTATTTATACATAATGCTGATTAAATTCATTTATCAGATATATCTTTTATATATTCGTCATATATATAGGGCGACTATTAAATGTTATAAAAATATGTTATGAAATATTTCGCAGTGAAACTGTAGCACTCGAAACATCACTGACTCGTTTACAAGAGTGTTCAAGATTATATACACACTCAAATATATGTCTTGCTTTAGTATTATTAAAAATATATAAAAAATAATTATATTTTGGTAAAAAATAATATCTTATATATGTATATTATATATGACTGGTAAATATGAAAGTACTTTTTGATATGATTGATTTTTGAAGTTATTATTTTTTAGAAAAAAAAATATTATTTTAATTATTAATACATGTTTCAATAATAGTATATATAGCAAAGTACTCTATGTACTCGGATCATATTAAAGACTTGCATATTTGATTTAATATATACAAATAATTTGTTAAAGTTTATAAGAAGTTATAATTTATTATATTACAATAGATATTCATGATTTATATATATTTTTCAACTTTAACAATGTTTCTTCCATTCCCCTTTCTTAAATTTTCTTTGACCTTCATAATATATTTCATAGGTTAATTTGAACAAAAAATTACTATATGTTGACAAAATCTCATAAATTCTGTGAGATTTATGTTAGGAATAACTATTATTATTATTTAAATTTTTACCTCATTTTCAAAAAATCATATACATATATGTATATGTATGTATGAAGATTGATATTTTTATGCATAATTACTTTGATCTTAAATCGAATAAATGGTACATTTAATAATTAACAAGTCTTAATAGATTATGTTTAGTTTTTTATAATGTATACCAAAATTTGGGTCAAGTTTTTGATAAGCAAACAATTGAATTGAGATTAAATAAGAAGTGTACTTGAAATATAGAATTCTCATTAGTATTGTTATATATACAAATCTTATATATAAAATTCTTGTGTCACAGTGTTAGACAGAGAACTCCTATGTAATGACTGGACCGATTCTCATGAAATTTTGTGAGCATATTTATCTTTCATGCCCCTAAGTCATAAGGGTTGTTCAACCTTAATTTTTATTATTTTTATTTTCGGTCGAATTTTTTGTTTACATTTTTTATAATGTAGCATTAAAAAATACATATAACCCAAATTTTATCTATTATCACCAACCCCTATTTTTTATATGGCAAATCAACGTTTGCCAGGTCAGCTAGTATATACATATATATATATATAGAGTTTAATAGCTATATTGATCTAAAATACACATAGACATTGAGGAAAAACTATAGGAATATGTATATTTTATCATATATAATTTTTTGTATATTTGTAACATATATAATGAATGTCAACATCGTTTAAACCATCGGGTCTTTGGACCTTTGACTTTGATAGTATCAATTCTTAATATGTAAATCTCATGTCATAGAATATATAACATGATAAAATAACAAACAGAACCGGTATATTTATATTGTTTTGTTATTAAGTCTATTTAAATTACTGTTCTATAGAATATATATATGTATATGTTGGAGAGTCTGATTTTAAATATATAGGTATTAATAATCTTGTTGTATGTACATAAATAAATTTATATATGTATGAATTTCTGTTAATTCTGGTTACTTAGTAACTTACTTGAAATTATATATTTTTTTCTTGTAAGTAATACTATCATTGGGATGATAGAACTCCCAATACCTCTTTTATTATGAATACTAGATGGAATATACAGACATACATATGTGTAATTTTAATTGTGTTTTATATATAGTTAATGTGTTATATTTTGTTTCAGTTAATTTGAATAGTGCATCCAAAGTGGACATATCACATTTCGACTTGCTCAAAGTCTTAGGCACTGGAGGTGAGTTTTTATATATCAATTTCTTATATATATAATTTATATGATATACATGTGTGTGTGTGTGTGTGTGTGTGTCTTTTACACATTGAAATGAAAGTTACTGAACTCATAATAGAGTAACATAATGCTTACTATCAACATTAATCTATCTTAAGAATCTTAATTGTTAAAACGTGCAAACAAAGTAAGTAAAGTGAAATAAACATGGGATATTTTTGAATTATTTTATATTTATATATATCACTACAATTATTATATTTTGCATGATGTGATAGCCTATAATTAAAAGGACATTTAAGTTATTATTAATAGTTTGATAATGTAATGAATGTGATAATGTTTTCTTTTGTTGGCTATCCAAATAAAATAAAATAAAAATAAAAAAATCACTAAATAACTTATAATATGAACGAACATTTTTTTATTTTTGATGTACAAAAAAGCTAGTTAAATTTAAAAAAATAGTTGCCCGCAAACACACTAAAAAAAGCATCATAAAATATGTTGCTGCCTTTTCATTTACATATACAATACAATATATATATGTTGATATACATATACAATATATATGTTGATATATGGCAAAATATATGTTATCATGAAATTATGAAAAGAAATATATAAGATTAGTTTTTTATTGAAATGAAATAATATTGGGTACACCCAATTTGTTATACTCTCTAAATGTTGTTCAAGGTTGTATTGATAATGTCTTGGACTAGAAGCGCTATCAGTCTTAATGACATATATATATACATATACATACATATACATGTGTGTAGGTACATTAACTGACTCGAAAATCATGCCAAACTGTCTAATTGTTCATCTTATTTGTGATGCTTCCTGATTATGCATGCATGCTCAAATATATATATAATCAGTATAAACAAATTTAAGTAATCTACGATTAATAGAGTCAAATGAATTATTTTTATGTATTATTTTATGTACTGTTCTCAAGCCCCTATATTAATTCGTAACGCACGTTAAATCCCATGTACATTCCTAAACTATTTGATGTCTCAGTTAAAGTAGAGCCACTCGTCCCATGAGGTTATTAACCTACCACGTGCGCGGGGGAATCCGGGTGGTAGGGTATAGCTTGTGTGTTTTACTCTTATATGTGGGTTATTTTTAAATGTATTGTACTAAAGATATCTTGAGTAGAGATAAGCTGTTAAGAGGGATATCCGAGCGGAAGGATTCTTGGTTAATATTATATTTTTAATATATGTATATATATATTTTAATTTTAAATTTTTAACTCTTTTGTAACGTATATATCATCAGCCTATCAGAGCCCACTGCTGTAAGGCCTCTTTCTCACATGGAGAAGGTTTGAACATTAATCACCACGCTTGCTCAAGACGGGTTGGCGATTTCAAATTTATAATTGTGAAATTATAAGTCCATGTTTCCTCACGATGCTTTCCTTCCTCAGTCAGTGGTGTCTAAATACTCTTAGAAAGTACATATCGGGAAAATCACATTGGTACTTGCCAAGTTCGAACCCGCGCTCTCGTGAATGAGAGGCGGGCCCTTTAACCACTATGCCACCACTGACTACCGTTTATATATAATGAATCATTAAGTCAGTATGTTCATTATTGTTATTTAATTATATACCGTATTACAAAGTTATAAGATTTAATTTTTGATACGACGACATAACAATTTTGTAAACATTGAAAGAAACCAACAAAATATGTTTATTTTAAATAACCTTTGTTTACGCGACTCGTGGAAAGTACCGGTCGTGATGAAATGTATCCCCACGGGGTTCGTCTTAGAAAATGGATAACTTTTTATTTGGCTCGTGTTTTATTATGTATCAGAAAACATTATACCATATTAACGAAGTCGGTTAAGAGAGTATTTGTTATATCAATATATATGTATACTAGCTGATCCGACTAACGTCGTTTTGCCATATCAAAAATAAGGGTTGGCGATAAAAAAGTGAAATTTTTGGGTCCAAAATATCGTCAAAAAAAAAAATTAAGAGTGAAAAACCTTTATGACTTAAGCTTTATGACTTACAGCTACTCAATATGCTCACAAAATTTCATCAAAATCGGTCCATCCCTTTCGGAGTAGTTGTGTCGAATGGCAACACGGCAACACGAGTATTTTATATATAATATATGTATAGTAAATGAACAAGTTTTTTATATATAGATATTCGAGTTATTTCAAAGTCTACCAATAAGTTTTTCTATGTACAATTAATGAAGATTTTTTTATTACCATTCCTTTTTAGGAATCTTTTAACTTATGATGTTTGTTATTATATATTATGGAAAATATTAAATATTATTTGGTTACAATGATTTTTATATATGGTGGTTTCGCATAGTTGTATATAAATATACAGGGTGACTGGTGAATTACTATCAATATTTAAGGAGAATACTCGGTACATGATTCTCATTCGAATTATGTAAAAAAATAGGTACTTAATTTTTGACAAAATTTCCGTATAAATAAATAAAGTGTTGACACGTTCCAAGTTTTCCAAGTGTGGACGCGTGCGGCGGCGTGCTGATACAAAGCCACGCCCCCGCCGCGTTTGTGTGAGTGTGTGTGTATACCTAATCTGTAGGGTGTTCACATGATGCGTAATTAATTACATAACTTTTGGTTATCTTTACTTAGAAGTTTATTAATATTTATGTTATATTAATTTTTATTTTGTCATATATGATCGTCAAATATCACGTCCTCAAGTATCGATAGTAATTCACCAGTCACCCTGTATATGAAATGAATATATATATATATACGAGCTGGAATTGAACCTAGGACTGCTGGAAATTCCAGATGTATTAGTGTACATACTATTCAATGATAATTTTATGTTTCAAAACAATTGTTTACCTTACTGGTATATATCTTATTCTTTTACATCGGATGCTTTATAAACTATTACAGATCTTTTGGTTCGAATGAAAATAATATTTACTATTTGAATAGTCGATATAATAAGGAAGACTTTGTAATTAGTGTGGCGAAAACCGGGGGACATAGCTAGTATAAAATTCATGCATATACAGATACATATTACGTATCTATAACTTGTCAAATACCGTTGAAAGTTCCAACATAATCGACACAGCCGTTTCAACAATACCATTACTCTAGTATGAACACAATAATAAGTTTAAACTATGTAGATAAAGCGAGGTTTTTCTTAAATTAAAATCCCCATTAACAGAAAGTTAGCTAGTAGTATTATTATCTATTCTATTCTAGTGGTACAAAAAAAAACTTCAAGAGTACTGTACAACGGAATACGCTAGCGGCCGTTCTTTGAACCTTGTTTTTTTAATTGCAAAACTTTTAACTATCATAGTTAACTGGTGTGGTTTAAACGAGGGTGTTCACTTACTGTGACATGACAATTAATGATTATTACTATTTTCATATGAAATAAGCTCTTTAATAAGCAATATAAAGCTTCTGATTTTATTGTATACTAGCTTTCCGCCAGCAGCTTCGCCAATCGCGTTTCCAAGAGAACCTTTCAAAAGTCTGGAATAAAAACTATCCTATGTTCTTTGTCAAGGTCAACTCTATCTCTGTACCGAATTTCATTAAAATCAGTTCAGTGGTTTAGGCGTGAAAGCGTAACAGACAGACAGACAGAGTTACTTTCGCATTTATAATATTAGTAGGGATAAATACTTTATTTCGAGTATTAATCTTATATTTCAATGGCATAATAATAAGGTTTCATTCAAATGTGTCTAGCAGTTTAAACTTTCACTTGATATTGATATTATATTTTTGTGTTAAATAAATTTTGATTATTCACTGATTTGAAGATTTTTTCCTATAAGATGTACTTATAGAAAAAGACCAATGGGATCTAAATATTATTAAGGACCTAGCTATATAGATCTTTTATTAAATACACAGAGCTGTAATTAGTAGAAAGTTACTTTTTATTTGTATATAATAGTAAAATTTTAATATGAAAATCTCAACAGATCTCGAAATAGAAATCTTAATAGATTTTGATCCAAATAATAAGAGATATCGTTTCATTTGATATTTAATACTTTTTATTTAATATCGATTTCTGTTATTTTTTTATATCAAGGACCATACTTACTATTGAGCTTCAAAGAATTGATGTATGTTGCTCTATCAAGCGAAAACTACTGAACTGATTTAATTGAAACTTTACACATATGTAGCTTAAAGATGAGAATAAGACATAGGCTATAAATTATCCTGAAAATCCATCTAATTTAGGCAGGATTAAGACTTGGCTCTAGTAATGTGTATGAAGTCACGTGACTCACTATAGGCATATTTATCAGTAGGTAACTATATATATATATATATATATATACATATATATTGTTTTAACACACTTTATTCAGTATTATCTGCTCGTAATACCGAAGTCCACGCGGACGGAATAGCATGCAAAAACTAGTATGTTATGTAAAATGATTTGAAACTCGTAATGACAATTTTACATCCGCAATGCAATATCAAAACTAGTTTCGTTTCTCAGCTAGTAAGAAGCTTTCCTTAGTACGAACTTACGATCGTTACGAGAAACTTGCAGTTTGGACGTTTTCGACATATCATCTACTAGCTTTCCGCCCGCAGCTTCGCCCGCGTGGAGTTCGGTTGTATCGCGTTTCCAAGAGAACCTTTCAAAAGTCTGGGATAAAAACTATCCTATGTTCTTTATCAAGATCAACTCTATGTCTGTACCAAATTTCATTAAAATCAGTTCAGTGGTTTAGGCGTGAAAGCGTAACAGACAGACAGAAGACAGACAGAGTTACTTTCGCATTTATAATATTAGTAGGGATAAATGCCATACGTCCAAACTATCGGTATCTAAGTTAACATCCTCTTGTGTACGTGAGTTAGTTCACGTTGTACATAACTGTAACTTCGACGTATTCTGTTCCAACCGCAAATCCTATTTAGCTTAGCTTTGGTTACCGACTCCGCTCGTCTCGTGTAAGAATATGGCTTTACTGTGTCTCACTAATTAATAATATACATATAGATTGAGATATACATAAATTATTTCATGTTTTATATACATATATGTATCTTTATACAATGAGTAAATATATATGTATGTTTGTTTGTATTCAATTTTCTAATGTCGAAGTCAGTAGCTTCAGAGTGATTTAAATAATAATACGAATTTCACCAAAATTTGTGATTATTTTCTGTAGTTCACTGTTATATACAAATCTTTTTAATTTTCATAAGTATTTTTTATATAAATAAATCAATATTACATGTAAGTTTTTTGGGTAAAAAGTAAAAACCTGTCATAAATATATGTTGATTCGTTCTTTTACTCCTAAACTTAGCACTATACATACACTCCGATTGCAAAACAAATGTTTTTTGTAATATATATTATTAAAAATTTAATATCTTGCTTTCGTTTACAAAATACATAGCAGTTACTTTTTTTTTTGGAACATAAAAAAAACAATAAAATATTTTAACTATTGAGAGGTATAATTAAATCTAATTAAATAATATTATATCATCCCTTGCCTGTGACATCCAAGAATAATATATTTTTTACCGACTTGAAAATATAATATGTTCTGTATTTACATTCAAAGACTAAAATTTTGTTATTGACGAAATAATATGAAATCAAATAAAAATAAGCAATGTGGCTTTATTACAGTATGTAAGAATACATCCTTATAAGTATATAAATTATAATTAAAATTACATATTTTTACAATATATAACATAAACTTAAAATACAGTGTAAACTCTATATAACGACACTGAAGGGACCGTGCATTTTAGTGCGTTATAGAGAGTTGCCGTTAAATAGAAAGAAGAAAAATCAGAATTAGAAAAAGACAAAGTTTGTTTCCGACTACTGTTAGTACTTATGTACATAAAAAAGAATGTTATAAAGTCTGTTGTTTTTGTTTGACGTGTTTTGCTGCACCAGTAATGTTATTGTATTTTTTACGTATTTTATTCATATCTTGCGATATTGAGGCATATTGGTGAAGAACGAATTTCTTAGAAAGTTTGGCATGATTACGACAGTGGAGTTTATTGCGGGCTAGGATAACAAAGCGACAAAAAAACGTACACAGCTACGCATTTTTTACTAATTTTAGCAACTGAAAGGGTACTTTTTATTACTTAATTTTGTCGTTATTGAGAGTGGGTGTGACGCTATATAGAGTGTATCATTGTATGGTAGACAAGCTAAACCAACCAGAGTCAAATGATTTCGACGCTTTAGAGAGTTTGTCGTTAAATCGAGTGTCGCTATATGGAGTTTACACTGTATATATTTTCTAGATACTTTAAAAGGTATGTTAATATATTTGGTTTTGTCAACTCACTTAAGTCCTGAAAGGACGGATATCCGGTCAGAAGTGTTCATATTTAACAAACAACATATAAACAATTTATCATATTTCATAAAACATATAGTAACTATAGGTTACTATTTATATATAAGATTTCTTTAAAATTATTTTGTTAAAAAAAAACTTTAATCATGACGAGGGTACTAGGGCATCATGGGTATATAGGAGTGAAGATCCGCCGCGTGGGGTCGTTGAACCCCGAAAAACTGGCGCGTAGCGGTGCCCGGTCGTTACCCGTCCTTAGAGCGCCTCGATTTTATTATCACCTGGTACTGTTGTCGCCGTATAATCAATTTGATATAATTTTTCTTAAATATTTGGTTAGATATTGAAATCATTCATGATTTGATTAAAAAAAAAAATATCTCAGTACATTTTTTTTATTTATCAATCAATAAGACAAGTCTATGGTCGTAATGCTAATGTATTAATATAATAAAACTATTAATTATTAGCTGTTAAATATTATAACTGTTTTAAACAGTTGCGTGATCTTTGACGAACGCTGACGAAACCTGCCGAATGGATACTATCTCTTTCTCTCTCTATTTCTGATCATCTATCTCACTCTAATGGAATTTCTTATCGAATCCAAAAGCATTATACAGGCGTGTACAGTGTACCTGACCTCGCGTATCCAAATTGTAATTTTAACAAAATCAGAATGAATTGTGTTTGTTTTTCTTATTAATTTTATGTAAGATATAATTATTATGTATTAAATAACTCAGTATATAATGTGCGAAGTATTTTTTAAGAAAATTAATAGATTTAAATGCCTAATATAATTTAGTTCAATGGGACATATTTCTACATAAGTCAGTTAAAATTGATGACGTCACATCCTCATTGAGTTCATTTATTAGTGAATCAAGCAGTTATAGTCTAACATATAATAGTTATTCCGTCTCCAAACTTTACTTGTACATCTGTTAATCAAATATATGCTTTATGTTCAATGGCTTAAGGACTGATATATGTTTTAATAACTGAACATATAGTTGAAACTAATCATAGCCCAATTCTTTCTAACCTGACAATTTCCCAGCTTTAGCCAGGGTCTGCCTTACATGTTGTGAATAGTTTTGACTAATTGTTTTTACGACCGCCCGCCTGCCTGACATCAATCCTCTTTGGGAATCATAGCCCAATTGTTTAAGTAAATTCCATATGAAAAACTAGTTATAATAATTAACTATACCAAATCATACGACTTCGTTTGTTTATCAAGCTCAATGGTCGTGATGTATAGTGTAACACACAAACACACACACACACACACACACAATGCTCGTTCGCACCACCAGGTGCGTCGGCAGATGTTGCCTACGGGGTTGTCTACCCTATATATTGAACTGCATCATTTTTTGTCAATTTCTCGTCTCTATAGAGAAGTCCTTATATAGAAATGTCGTATGTATGTATGTTCGTCTTGCATTGATATATACGTGGATTTTAAATGATTTTTAAATACATTTATATTATTATTACATATAACTATATATGGAAGTATTGTATTTAGTGTGAGGATGAAAATATTTATAATTAAATAATTTGAGGTTTAAAATGAAATATGTAAAACATTTAAATCTATTTACTCCTTATGTTTCGGTTACTTTGCAACAACCGTAATTACAGATGAGATGAAAAAAACGCTTGTAAATCCGAAAATATTAATTTTATTTCAATAAATACTTCTAAGTCGTACGTCTTAGTATAAAATTGATTAAAATGGTTGCCACGTGGTGCCCGCAAGCATTACTTTCATTTAATCTTAGCATGTAACCGACTGTGGCGATGCCAAAAAAAAGTGTATTGTGTTTTTTTGTAACTCCAACGAGCTGCGAATGAATGGCTTAGCAACAGGCATATACCTTCCGAGAAAAATGCGTTGAAGATGTCAGGAAATAATTTAAATTTATTATATTATTTGTATGAATATTTTATTAATATAAATTTCCCAGCTATAGCCAGGGTCTGCCTTACATGTTGTGAATAGTTTTGGCTAATTGTTTTTACGACCAGCCGCCTGCCTGACATCAACCCTCTTTGGGAATGATATATTGTGATAACTATTCCTAAATCTACAAATCTATTAATAACAGATTTTTAGAAAGCCTTTTTCTAAATTCTTAATATATTTCTTATCTTAAAGTAGTAATCTTTATTTTCTCTACATTATACGTACAGTTTTTTAAGCCGCTCTGTTAAGATTGGCGCAAAATACAGTTACGCGACATAGATTTATCATTCCAACCAATAAGTTATTGGTCCTATGTTTTATTAATTTAATTTATATTATATATATTTCTTGATAGTATATAAATAAATAATAAATTGTATCAAAAATATTCAATTATTGATATATTACAATCGAATAAAAATGAATATATATTTAATATATGTTCAAAGAATATAGAATATGTAGTTAAAATCAAACTTTCTACTAATAATGTTATAAATATGTAAGTTTGCGAGGCTGTATGTAGCTATTTCACGCAAAAACCACTGAAACAAAATAATCGATTTTAATGAAACTTTACACATATACATATATGTAGCTTAGAGATTTTAATAAGATATAGGCTATAAATTATCCAAAAAATCCGTGTAGTTTACACAGAAATAGGATATAACAGTTGTATTGTGTATGTAGTCACGTGGCATATACTAGATGTCGCTGATCGAAGAAATAAACTTTCATCTCTAAACGTAATTACGAAATATAAAAAAAACTATTATTTCATTAAAATCTTTTATTATCATTTTAAAAGTATCAGTTTAAAAGTATAAAGCCAAAAATTTTGATATAAAATGTTGTACATATCTCTTTATATATGTATATAATTCTTCTGTGCGTGTGTATGTCACTGAACTTCTCCCAAACGACTGGACCGATTTTTATTAATTTTTTTTGTGTGTGTTCAAGGGGATCTGGGAATTGTTTAGATTCACAATTTTGCCCGCTGGACAAAGTTTTTTTAATTAATTTTTAATTTATTAGTAGTTGTTGATACAAACGTTTTTTTTGACATTAGATTTGACAGCTAACTAATATGTCAATCATTCTGTCGCACTTCAAAACACGGAGATTTATGGCTTTAATAGGTAAACTCCAAAAATATAAATAAAAAACGTAACAGATATTTCTTGATTATAGGGCGATACGAAGTTCGTCGGGTCTTCTAGTATATGTATATAGTTATGGTCGTCTGTCTGTTAGTTCAAGGGACTGTTACGTAACGAAGGACGTATCCTGGGAAGGTCGTGGTCCGGGGATGGCCAAGGTTCACCTCCAGGGTTCAAGGGTCACGACATGCCCTCAACCTCCAACATTTATATTACTATTGAGAGACATTTTATAAGTCTATTGACTCACATTAACGTGTTGAACAGATTTCTGTTTTAATATCAATAAAATAATGATAACTTTCTCACTTGAAAGCATGTATTATTTAACTTAACTGAATATGTGTTAGTTTAATTTTGTTGATAAGTAACCCACCCATCCAAGGTCGGACCTCGCGGAGTGTTGCTTAACCCGCATCACTAAACAGTTGGAACCGCTATTGTGGTGTGTTATTATCTTAGTGTGTTTGTTTGTTCGTTCCAACTATAACCGAACCGAAATATATGAATAAATATAAATTATGTATCTTCTTCTACCTGGCAATTTCCCAGCTTTAGCCAGGGTCTGCCTTACATGTTGTGAATAGTTTTGGCTAATTGTTTCTACGACCGGCCGCCTGCCTGACATCAACCCTCTTTGAGAATGCATTAATCAGTGATGTCTAAACACTCTTACAAAGTACATATGACTCGTAAATATCACATTGGTACTTGCCAGGATCCAACCCGAACCCTCGTGCATGAGAGGCGGGCTTTTTAACCACTAGCCCACTATGTATGTGAGCGTAAAATTAAATATTTTTTATATAGAAGTCATTCAACTTTTAAATAAATTAATGAAAACGAACTTCAATATACCCAGGTTCATTATTCCTATAGCCGGAGTCCTTAATCTCTGCTAGTGACTGGCCTCGGTGGTTTAACCTTTTTCGGGGGTCATTTAACTTACGATACGGTTCTTAGGCCCGAATTTCATTGGAATTTCTTAACTTTTTTATATAATTGTAACAGTACTATTATTAATAATATTTATATACATATATATGTATGTGTGTGTGTATGTATATGATCAATGTTAACAGCTGATATTTAAAATTTCCCCAAGGTCGTAAGGTTTCCGTATAATTATTATATCAAAAGAAAAATATGTGTGATTTATATTTTGTTTATTACCAAACTAATATGGACTTTGATTATTTTTTTATGAATTGTAATCTTTTATATATTTATATATACAGGATGCCCCAAAACTCAACAGAAACTTTTCAAACTGGATAGGATAGATTTTCTTTTATTTTTCTTATGATGGTTACAATCCATCCTGTCACCCTGTTTCAGTTTGACGGTCAGTTTTGGGACACCCTGTATGTTTATATTAAAATATTGTAATGAAAAATTCTTTTAAATTTAAATTAAAATTATAAAAAAAAATATATATAAAATTAGTGTAATTTTGAGATGAAAATAGTTTTCCTTAATCGCTTCTATATTTACTTTTGTTAATTATATATTTTATTATTTTGACATTCCATTGACCTTCTGTATAACCCCCAACATGTTCGTGTGTTGTATGTCTGTATGTGTTTGCATGATCTAATTAACATACAATATCTACCCCGCGTCGTCGCTCGAAGTGTTGAACTCTGATGTGTGAATCGTTGTGAGGAAGATTGATTCATTGGTTATATAATGTGTTGGTGAATGTTTATTATGTGTGAAAGGCATACATACACACACATACACACACATACACACACACACATACATGCACACACACACACACACACACATATATACATATGTAAGAGTGTTCAGGAAACGTATATAAAAATAGGGGTTGGTGATAAAAAAAAATGTTGGGTTGTATGTATTTTTTAAATGCTACATTATTATAAAATTAAAACAAAAAAAATACGTTTGAAAAAAAAAGGATGAACAACCCTTATGACTTAGGGGTATGAAAAATAGATGTTGGCCGATTCTCAGAGCTACTTAATATGCTCACAAAATTATATGAGAATCGGTCCAGCCGTTTCGGAGGAGTTCTCTGTCTTACACCTCGACACGAGAATTTTATATATAAGATATCTATATATATATATATATATATATATTTACGAAACGCTATATAACTTTCAGTTTCAAGTATTTTGTTCGTAGTAAAATATGTTGAGACTATCGCGTCAGAGTCAATGTACCCTCAATGGTATATTTTGCATATTTATCACCAGTCGTTTTCAATTGTGTCGCTGAAACTAAAACGAAATATATCCATAAGAAAATAACATGTTTGTCTGTAATTATGACTGTAAAGTTACATCACGAACAGTTCAGCAGTTTACGAGTAAATCGCAAACATACATACATACATACATTCATATATATATTGTTGTAGAGCTTAATTTTTTTTGATCGCCCACTATGCTTGTACGATATGGCGTTGTGGGTTAAAATTAGTAAAAATTATCATCTATAAGCTTCGTATTATTATAATATGATAGCCAGGATCAAATCCGGGAATAGTACATACAAATAGTCTTAAATTATTGTGCATTTTTAAATATGTACTATTTTCATATTTTGATCTTTATACGAAATAGTATTTAAAAATATAAAAGCAAACAAGAATCTATAAATGGATAGTTCTACGTTAAGAGGCACTATCGACGGCTACATGAAAAAATCATACATAATTTGAAAATTCGCGGAAATCCTCTGTCATATTGAATAATAAATAAAGCATACTTTTTTATCAATGAATTACAGTATCTGAATGAACTTAGTTTAGCTATAATTTCATGTTGACCTAGAAAAAAGTATCTACCCTGGCCTGTCTCTTTACTATTCTGTAACAAACTCTTCCAAATTTAACATATTACTAATTCATTTAAAATCTAAGCGTTATTTATTACAAAAAACAGTATAATTAACAATAATGAATATGTAAAAAAAACTCTCAAATTACTTTAATTTTCTATTTTAAAAAAATATCAGTTTTTGTCCCTCATATATTAAGTCTCCTCCCCTGCTTATTTTTCGTCCGTTATAAATGCCGGAAAAATACGTTGACGCTTCAAATTTCAATAGGCAGAGCATTTGTTTTAAAGTTAAGTTAGTAATAAACGCCGCGAGCGCCATCCACGCGCTCTCATTTTCATATAATTTGATCACGCCACTCGGCTTACACGGACGTGTCAGTGATTGCAGTATCTCCACTGGTAAGTTTTATTCATTTTCTATTTACATTTAAAGTCTATTTTATTATTTATTTACTTTAATTTAAGCTTAGTTTACCGTGTTCATTTGTTTTTTTCGTTACAACATATTTTATCCTGATTAATTTTAGTTTTTTCATGAAAACGTCTCTTCCCTGCCGTATTTCCCCTGCTTCATGAGATGCCAGGGTAGAGACTTTACATCCAGGGTAGATAAGGAAGTGAGATATTACTGCTTTCTTAGTATTCATATATTTTTATTAGTATATGAATTTGGTTTTACGTTAGTCTTCTACTACGTAGCAATTATTTAAATTGATTTCTAAAATGTTTGAATAAGTGTTTTCATTTCTTTAGATCATGCCTCCTCGAAAGAAACTGACTCGTGAGGAACGTCTTGAAAAGAAGCGTCTGGCAGAACGATTGAGATACCAACGCATAAAAAATAATCCCGAAAGGTATTCTCAACAGAAGGAAAAGTAAAAGAAGAAATATGAAAGAAAAAAAGAGAAGGGAACTATTAAGACTGTAAACCAAATGACACCCAGAGAACAACGAAAAGCCAGAAAGATATGGAGAGAAAAGGCAAAACAGCGGAGACGACGTTTAGCTCTTCAACATATTGGAAATGCTCCTGCTACCTACCTACTTCAGACAACGAAGTTCCTCCTAATGAAAATATTAATCAACGAGCGCAAGCTGGACAACGAAGATCGATCCAGGCAAGGCGAGCAAGAAACATATTAATAAAAAAACAGGTAGCTCAAATCGCTCTGCTTAAATCAACAATACAATGTTACAAAAAAAGGCTTCAGAGATCCAAAGGACAAAATAATATGGACATAGAGAAAAGTCCAGGTCCAGGTACATTACTTAATTCACCAAAATCGAAAGATACTGTCAAGAAAAAAATATTATGTGGAGAAGTTCTTTCTCAACAATTAAGAGATAATTTTTCGGATCTTACGACTCAAAAAGAGCAAAGACTGTTTCAGAGAATGATAAGTGGAGAACTGGTTTCAAAATATGGAGTTTTAGAAGGAGGCAAGATATTAAAACCTATTAAGAAAAGAAAAACTAAATTAACTTTAATAGAAGTAAAACGAAGCACAAGAAGAAAATCGATAACTTTGAGAAAAACTATAGAAATTTTCATGGAAGAAGATTCAAACAGTAGAGTGTGTGCTGGTAAAAAAGACGATTTTTTACACTTTTGACAAAAGTATTAACGTCTTTGAAAAGGCGTGATCTCAATTGTTTCATTTTTAATGTTTATTATTTTAGAAGTTCTTGTTTAAGTATTTTTTTTTATAACAGCTTTGATTCTCATATTCTCACTTAAAAGTTTTATTAAAGATAATATTTAAGTTAAGTTCATTTTACTTTAGAAAAAGATTTTACTTCTGTGATTTTTGTAAGCAGATATTAAGTATTTTTGTTTTCTAAGTTTAATTCCTAATTCAGGTTATTTAAAAAAGGCTGTACGAAACTTCAAGTCTGAATTTGTGTATTAGTTATAAACTACCACAAATTAGTGAATAATTAAAGTTAATTCTTATGAAATTAAGTTTTTTTCTCAATTCATCTTTCCCCTGTAAAGTAAGGTATCCTGCCCTGGCCTTCATGTCTCTACCCTGTACAGATTATCTTCCCTGGTCCCTTAAAAAACTCATAAAAGTAGATTAATTGACTGGCCATTCATCTACAGTATACAAAATACCTGATTACATAATATAATGTAGAAAAAGAAATCAATTTTAAATATTTTTATCGTGCCGCCCTGCCTAATATCAAAAGACCTCTTAACGTAGAATTACCCAAATATATTATGACATTTTAAAATGTAAATAGATTTAAAAGGTGAAAAACAAAATACGTTGAAAAACATATGCATCGGGTTCATTTAACTTTATCGTGTAATCAAAGAAATCTTTGGTGATAAAAATAATAATATTGCGATTTATATGTGAAATAATTATAGAGTATTCAACAGACAGTGGTGGCCTAATGGTTAGAGCACCCGCCTCTCGTTGCCGAGGGCGCGGGTTCAATCCTGGCCCGGGCAAGTACCAATGTGAATTTTCCGAGTCATATGTACTTTCTAAGAATATTTAGACATTACTGATTAATGCTGATTCCCAAAAAGAGGGTTGATGTCAGGCAGGCGGCCGATCGTAAAAACAATTAGCCAAAACTATTCACAACATGTAAGGCAGACCCTGGCTAAAGCTGGGAAATTGCCAGGTAGAAGAAGAATAGCGTCTTCAACAGACGGATCCGGGTGTAAAAGTACAGTTTTAAACAGAATCAGTGTGAAAACATCTTGGCATGAGTATGAGGAAACTGTCTGTAATTGAAACGTACTTGGAGTTTTAAGAAGTCGAGACTAAATTACTACTGAATACTGTCAATGTGACCTTACTTCGTTTTAATATTTCCACTAAATGAGGCATATACACACACACACACACACACACCCAAACATACACACACACATGTATATATGTATCTTTATATAATCTTTAGTTCAGTTCAGTAATATATGTTTTTGTATGAATTTTTTATCCTTCTTCTGCCTGACAATTTCCCAGCTTTAACCAGGGTCTGCCTTAAATGTTGTGAATAGTTTTGGCTAATTGTTTTTACGACATTCTTTTGGGAAATATATTAATGAATTTTTTTATTATTATAATGACGTAACTCCAATCACAAATGGTTATAAATTCGAGGGTAGTTTCGGAGGTCAATGACCGGCCTAGGATGGCTAGGTCGTGATCATTCATCGGCACGTAGCCTTCGGGTTTGATGCACCCTCTGTCGAAATATAACAAACAGCTGTTCTGTAGGTGACCGGCATAATGACCTGACGGGGTCAATGAACTTTGTATTTTATTAGACGAATCAAGTCACATGATCTCCTATTAGTATTGATATATATATATACATATGTTTATGTAAATGACTTGTTTATTATATGAAACGTGTGTATAGTTATATAGAACATTTGTGATGTGAATACACGTGGTTTGTTTGAGAGGGTGGGGGGGGGGAAGTGACGTCATATAATATATATATATTTCTTATAATTATGCTATATTACAATACTATAGAATGTAGATAACATTTATCATTTCGTTTATTATATCTAATGGGATGACGAAAAATGATGGCCACTCTACAGACGACCTACCGCAAACTTGATAAAAAAAATACCAAAATGGCCGCCCATCCGGCCCGGGGGGGGGAGTGTCCGGTTACAAAACTACCAGCTGGTCAGGACGTAACCGGACATCGGCACCAGAACCGGTTACATTATGATTGGTCATCACCGAACCGGATTCATGACACTCAGTTATTCGAATGGAAGTGTTGAAAATATTAAGAGCTTTATCAAAATCTGTTCAATAAAAATATTGTTTTATTCGGAATTGTTATTGATGGAAAAGAAATGATTGAAAAAACAAGATACTATATAATAATTATAGTTTATTATTTTAATATAATTTTGTTTGTGGGAATTGATTTTGTAAATATTATTCTGTTTTTATATATTAATGTTTTTAATGGAGAAGTTATCACTCGTTCATATTATATTGCATATTTATACAATTAAGTATATTTAATAATCTTAATTAAAAATATTACGAAATATAAATAATATTTTTAATACATATATTTACTATATGATTATTTTATATGTATACACTATATTTATATATGTATGTTTTGTTTCAGCGTACGGCAAGGTGTTCTTGGTGAGGAAGAGATGTGGTGTTGACGAAGGCAAGCTGTACGCTATGAAGGTGCTGAAGAAGGCCAGCATTGTGCAGAAACTGAAGACGGCTGAACACACGAGGACGGAGAGACAGGTGACGAGACTTGTCTAATATATAAAATTCTCGTGTCACAGTTTTCGTGCCCATACTCCTCCGAAACAACCTGACCGATTTTGATGAAATTTTTTGTGCTTATTCGGTAGCTATGAGAATCGGCCAACATCTATTTTTCATCCCCCTAAATGTTAGGGGTAGTCCACCCCTAAATTTTTATTTTTTATTTTTTAGACAAAATTTTTAATTACTATTTTTTTATGATACAACGTACAAAAATACATACAATCCTAAATTTTCACCCTTCTACGATCAACCCTTATTTTTTAATAGCTATTTTAGTAATTTATTCATTTTTCATCTCCGGTCGATAACTGATCAATCGTCATTTAATAAGTTATCCCCGCCAGATATCTACAGGTGTCACTTCTGACCCAGTAAACAGCACGGAGTAGGGATGAGAACGAAGCCGGTCTTCTGTTTCTCTCACACAATTAGACTTCTCTCACTCCCTACACAGTTGTCGGCCATCGTTATTGTTTGTGCATCAAGTGTAGTAGTAACGTTGACAATTATTATTTTGCTAGCTCAGTGTAACTCTCATATTAACTATTAATCATTCCTAATCACTTCAAAACACGGAGATTTATGGCTTTAATAGGTAAACTCCAAAAATATAAATAAAAAAACGTAACAGATATTTCTTGATTATAGGGCGAAACGAAGTTCGCCGGGTCTTCTAGTATTATATATATACTAGTTTTTGTCCGAGACTTTGTCTGCGTTAGTTTCAGAATTAGAAATTGATATACCGGACGAACTCTATAGGTGACGAGCCTTGTATTATATATATGTGCTAGGAAATTATATTTTGTATGTGTATATGTGAGGTCGTTATGGCCTAGTGGTTAGGCTTGCCTATCCTGCATGAGGGCTCGGGTTCGAAACCTGGCAAGTACCAATGTGGTTTTGTACCGAGTCATGGTTTTTCTAAGAATATTAAGACGCACTGACAGGCGGTGAAGGAAAACATCGTGAGGAAACCTGGACTTATAGTTTCACAATTATAAGTTCGAAATCACCAACCCGTCTTACAAGCGTGGTGATTAATGTTCAAACCTTCTCCATGTGAGAAGAGGCCTCTCAGTAGTGGACTCTGATAGGCTGATTATGATGTGTATTTGTTACGACTTACGGTACAAGATGTGAACTGCTACTATTTAGCTATAAACTAGAACTATGTAGCTTTTGCCCGCGACTCTGTCCGCGTGGACATGAGAATTTTTCATTGCCACTTACGGCCACTGAACTTGAATTGCATTCACATGGTTTAATCCGTGTAGTTTCGGGATAGGGATAAAATTTAGCCTATGTCCTTCTCCAGGATTTGATCTATCTCTATAGCAAATTTCATCAAAATCGGTTTAGTTGTTTATGAGTGAAAAGGTAGCTGACAGACATACAGATAGTGTTTTTGAATATACCTTTCAAATCATGATTAAATTGTTTAAAGTTAGACTCAATCATACAAGTTTTTACGTCATACTTTACGTGCTGCGTTATTTTTTATTCATTCATAAATCTGTAAATATTATAGTATTGACGTATATGTATGAAGATTGGTGACGCTTTATGCAGTGTGACGACGTAGACTTGTGATAAGGATAAAATATTATATCCTAATATAAAATTCTCGTGTCGCCGTGTTAGACACAGAACTCCTCAGAAACGGCTGGACCGATTTTGTTGAAATTTTTTGAGCATATTGATCAGCTCTGAGAAACGGCCAACATTTATTTTTCATACCCCTATGTCGTAAGGGTTGTTCATCCTTCATTTTTTTTTAATGCAGCATGAAAAAATACATACAACCCAAAAATTTTACGTTTTTATCACCAATCTCTATTTTTTTATTTAGTCAGCTAGTTTTATATAAATTCTTTAGAATACTAATAATGAATTTGGTTTTTGATTTTTTTTTATCATCTTTTTTCCAAGTCGGTTAACAGTGTGACCTAATTTATGTACATCATTAAGTATCATTGTAGTTTAACTTTAACTTAGTAGTTAACGTTTGAGATAATATTACACGTACTAAGCCCTGGTCCAGCAATCAATGAAACAAATCTGCTGAAGCCCTTCAATATAATAGTGTGTTGGTGGTTTAGAAAAGGATTGGATCGATTTTGATGTAATTTATACAGATTTACAAATAGTGATGATGAAAAATTCATTTATACATATGTATATTGGAAGTTATTGCTTTTGTATTATTATCAGAGCCAATTGTTGAGAAGCCTCTTCTTACATGGAGAAGGTTAGAGCATTAATCACCACGCTTGCTCAATGCGGGTTGGCGATTTCGAACTTATAATGCTTTAGTATATTTTATATCTTATATATATGTTTGTGTTATATATGTTATATGACGTTTCTATTCATCCATCAGGTCTTGGAAGCTGTAAGGGCTTGTCCTTTCCTCGTGACACTACACTACGCCTTCCAGACAGACGCTAAGCTACATCTCATACTAGGTGAGTACATAATATATATTTATATAATAATAAGAAAAAAATCCTGAAGTTAAGTTTTATTTAGTACTAGCTGCGCCCCGCGGTGTTCCGGGATTTCCGGGATGTAAAGTAGCCTATGTGTTATTCCTGGACGTCGGTTTCATGTATACAAAATTTTATCAAAATCGTTCCAGCCGTTTGAGCGTGAAGAAGTAACAAACATACAAACACTCACAAACTTTCGCAATTATAATATTAGTAGGGTAAATCTTCTAAACGTATTTTATTATGTCAGAAAACTACATACTCACGAAGCTGAAAAGTAACCGAAACGTCGGGAGTATGTAGTTTATAATAATAAAATATGTATACTAATACGAAAATATTAGTTTCATTTAAATGAATACTCGCGAGTATTAGATCTTATTATGAGTACTGTATCTTCTTCCTGGCAACCTCCCAGCTTTAGCCAGGGTCTGCCAATCATTCGTCTACAGTATGTACAGTCGTAAATACTAACAGTTTGTCAGTAATGTTATGAGATTCGGTGAATTTGATGCCGTCGTGTTAGCTGATCGATATTTGACCCCCAAGGTCGAAAGACATTACAATACAGACATCTAACTAAAGTTTTTTTCAATAATTACAATCGATATATTTGAAAAATAATTTTAAATTAATATTCATATAGTCATAGCGAGTAAACCCATTACATTTGTTTCAATTAAAAACTTGTTCTATCAAATCGAAATTATCACACCTAAATTTTGTTAGTTAAAATTTGACTAGTATTCTTTGGATCATCGCTATACAAATGTATTTAATTTCAAGGTTACACAAAATTTAACAGAAATATTGAGTAGAAAAAAAATGAATTGCCCACAAAAATTACAAAGTTGAATTCATTGTTAGTTGAATGGTGCAAGCATTGGGCAACGAGTCCCAATTCACTAGACCTTGGCACACAGCTGTATGCAATACATACTGACTTACACGATATTAAAATAATATACATATATATATAAACATATATATATCTAATCGGCTAAATATGATGTATTACTGCATTTAATAAATTTACAATTTTGAATTTGGAATGAATTCTATTCTGTTTATAAGCGTCGACTTGTCGAATGCAATATTTGAAAATGGAATTCTGAAATATGAATTCATTTAATCTTTAAAGCGTTCTCATTTTTAATGTAATAAATGCAGTTCATTTGAATTTCAAATTAAGAACGAGTAACTTCATGAGCTATAATCTAATTGTGTCATATATATAATTCGGAGTTCGGTTATATTGCGTTTCAAAAAGAACCTTTCAAAAGTCTGGGATAAAAACTATCCTATGTTCTTTGTCAAGGTCAACTCTATGTCTGTACCAAATTTCATTAAAATCAGTTCAGTGGTTTAGTCGTGAAAGCGTAACAGACATACAGACAGAGTTACGTTCGCATTTATAATATTAGCAGGGATTTTTTAATTTTTTTCTCTTTTTGTTTCTCTCTGTGCGCTAATTACTCTGTACCATCGACCTTGAGTGTATATTTTTTCTTTATTAATAGGTAAGTCATGACATTGCCGCCCTTGACACGTCTAGCTGTTTATAAAATGGCCGAATTGCTTAACAATTTTCGATACAACAATATAAAAATTAACAAACGCTACGATAGAGTTTTGCAACGTTTGTAAGAAAATTTTTAAATGTTTATTTTTATTACTACAGGCTGGTTAAATGAACTGAGTCGTTAGTTTTAGTCTAGTCTTCCGTACCTACATTTGTCCAATAATTGTATTAAGAACTAAGTCTTCCAGGAATAATATTTCTTTGAGTTTACCATAGCATTAGTAATAATTAAATTATTGCTAATACATTATATATTATACATTTTTATTACAAAATGTTAGTTTAAAATAGATGACATATATTTTTTTAATTATTTATAACAAAATTAGTCATCAATTCTGTTTATTATTTCCATTTCCTACAATTTTTGTATTTTTTTCAAACATTTTTTGGTATCCATTGTTCTTATGCATGTAACATGTTTGTAATATTTTTGACTGTCCAAGTCATAAGCGGTAGCGTTTTTAAGAGGTGATTTAAATTTTAATTACATAAATCGTTCTTCCTAATAATGAGTATTTTTAAAATTATACGTATGTATATCTTAATATTCTTATCGTTATTATATAAAGAAAATTGGAAAAACTGTTACATATAATTATTATTTATGTTATATATTCGTATAAAAGAAAGATATAAATACATATATATGTATATACTTTCTCTTTCTAACAGCTTCTAATTTACACCACACACGTATTGGACACAGTAATTGTTGGGTAAAATCAATCTTTTAACAACAATGTACTTAATATGACTTGTTGAACGAATTAACATTATATACTTGTGGTTAAATTAATAACATTTTTGGCTATTAATTATTGTATGTATCTATGTTGAAAGATATTTATACTTAACTTTTTAAATAAACTTAAAAAAAAATGTATTGTCATCTTTATTATTTGTAACTACGTAAAAATAATTTCATTATAAAATAAAAATATATTTTATGTTAATTTTAAATTATACTTAATTTGGCTGCAAATTTTTTAATAAGACAATAAATGTCTTATAATATGAGAAGTGTTACAAAATTATTATTGAATTACTAGAATTATGTAAAATTAATTTTGATATATTACTATCTCCCTAGAAGTGTTTCATACATTTATATTAAACTATGAAAAATTTTAATCATAATAGGTATATAATAATATATTTATTTTTAACAAGAAAACGCGACGAAAGACAAATTCATTTTCATGAAACGGTTTTAAACGTGGGATGTGAGATTCTCCCAATATAATGGACGGGTCAAGGTTGTCTGTTGGATGATATACAAACATACACACACATGCACACACACACAGCTACATACATAATTACTTCCAATATCTAAAGTAGTTTAATAAATAGCGACAGGCTAATAGGTAATTGCAAGACTTGCGAGACTCTTGCCGCAAGAACAAGACTGTAAGCGCAAGACCAAGACTAGACAAGAATCGTCATGTTCTTGCTTTTGTGCAACACTACTACATGCATAGTCCATACATTACATTGTTTGATCATTAAAATATCGCTTACAAATCTCAGAAATACAATATCCTTAGAGCATTTTCGAATTACAAACAGATGGATGGTAGTCGCTTTATATATAACGGGTGTCCCATCTAGCGTTTCGAATTTGAACTAACGATAATTTGACATTGGAGACGTCAACTGTCATCGGAGAAGTGTCACATATTTAGTAATAAGTCTGACATTTACGAAATGGGTCGCTATTCGCTTGAGGAAAGCTGGGAAATATTAAAAAATTATTTCCAAAGTGGTGAATCGCCAACGCAAACTGTGCGAAATTTGAAAAAAATATTTGCCAAAAAAGATTTGCCATCGGAGGCATATGTGCGGCAATTTGTGAATCGTGTGCGCGAAACTGGATCACTGTTGGATAAAACAACACGTAAACGTCCATTTCCAGCAAGGTCAACCGAAAACATCGCTGCGGTGGAACAAAGTGTTCGTGAACGGCCATCCACATCGATTCGTCATCGAGCGCAAGAGTTGCACCTTTCTCGGTCAACTACGCACCGAATTTTGCGCAAAGATCTTGCCCTGAAGCCATATAAAGTTCAGTTGGCCCAACAGCTGAAGCCAATTGATCATCCGAAACGTCTACGGTTCGCAAATTGGGCGGAAGATCGTTTGGCCGAAGATGGTGAGTTTTATCGAAAAATCATCTTTTCCGACGAGGCTCATTTTCACCTCGGCGGTTATGTAAATAAACAAAACTGCCGTATATGGGGCACAGAAAACCCGCACGTCGTTGAGGAGAAACCGATACATCCACAACGAGTGACTGTTTGGTGCGGATTTTGGTCCGGCGGCATCATCGGCCCATTTTTTTTTGAAAATGATGAAGGAGCCGCCGTAACCGTCAACGGCGAGCGCTACCGCGCTATGTTAACTGATTGGTTTTTCGGTCAAATGGAAGAGTATGATTTGGACGATATTTGGTTTCAACAGGACGGGGCTACGTGCCATACAGCCCATGCTACGGTCGATGTTTTGCGCCCAATCTTCGAAAATCGCATAATCAGCAAAAATGGTGATGTGAATTGGCCTCCAAGAAGCTGCGATTTAACACCATTGGATTATTACCTTTGGGGAGCGGTCAAAGACGTTTGTTACGCCAACAAGCCAAGCACGATTGATGACTTGAAACATGAAATTGAAGTTGCCATTGCTGCCATAAGGCCGGAAACAATTGAAAATGTACTGAAAAATTGGACTGATCGAATAGGGTACTGCCAAGTAAGCTGTGGTGGACATTTGACCGAGATAATTTTTCACAAATAATGTCATGAATTATGCTTTCAAATAAATGTTTGATCATTGAAATCTATCGAGTCGTTCTTTTTTTATAGCCTTTTTAAATTCGAAATTTTCCGTGAGACACCCTATATATAAATATGTGTGTGTGTGTGTATATATGTTTGACGTCATTCCGTAACTTTCGCATGACCAAAAGTTTTAATATTGTTCACTAACTCTATACCTTAATTATATTGGTAAAAAACACTGATACTATAAGTATAACCACGATAGTACATGCTATATACTGAGATCTAATACTTTCGCTAGTATTCATTTAAATGAAACTAATTATTTGGATTACTATGCGTTGTTAATTATTTTAACTAAATACTCCCGATGTTTCGGTTACTTTGCAACAACCGTGATCACGGACACGTAATTGTCAGACATGTCGTCTGTCCGTTAAAAGTACTAAAATACGCGTAGTAATACGAAAATTCAAAATATTAGTTTTATTTACATGCTATATGCTTACTGTTCACTTCATACTTAAAACGGGAAACGCAAAGTAAGTAGTGTGAGTAAATACTTGTGGTAAACATACTACATATATTTTTAATCGAATGCTATATGTAATATTTTTTTACTTAATAAATTTCATTTGTAAGGAAATATAATGAAAATAATTGGATGGTTTTTCTCTTTTATATAAAAATATAGTGTTATATATGTATGTATATGTTTGTAAGGTACATTTGTCCCCTAAGCGTTAAGTTGTATGCGCACTCCATGGCTTCCCTTGTATAAGCCTTTTTTAAATCGATGGCGTCTTGTACGGTCAGCATGTAAAATAAAATTATCTTTTATGAATAAAAATAAAAATTGTTTGTTCAACTCAATAGCAATATAAATATAATTTAACTCTTTTTATGGATATAGGCAAAAATAAAGAAATAAAAATAATTTTTTTTTTGCTGACGTTACAATGAAAGGGTAAACAATTTATGAGAGGCGAATAATTTAGGTGCGTCTTATTTGAAATTCACTCACCGCCAGGGGTCGCTACTTCTACCCCTACCCCCGTATTTAACTAATCACTCAAATCATTGTCTAGATTCTAGATAGAAATGGAAAATTAATTGCTAGCCGTCTGAGTAAGAATGAAAGTATTGATTTATGTAAAAAAAACTATATTCTCAAATTATCTATGATAAAAAGACTTAAACTGAGCTATTTCTGAGTAATATGACATATATGAATATTTTAAATTAGTATAACATATATATGTTATGATTACCAGAACTAATATCAGTTAATTCTTGGAACGTACTTCGAAGGCAGCCCTAGTAGGTTCTTTTCAAAGGTAGAGAGAGGAGCTTGTACGGTGGAGGTGTTTTAATAATTTCCTTAGTCTTTTTAGTCCAGTTAATCTAGAACCTTCCATTTTGTTCCAGATTACGTGGCCGGCGGGGAACTATTCACACATCTATACCAGCGAGAACATTTCCACGAGAACGAAGTCAGGATATACATAGCAGAGATCATACTAGCGCTGGAACAGCTACACAAGGTATATTATATATATATAATATATAAATATATATATATATATATATATATATATTTAATCTCGAATCATGAACTTTTCCGAACCGGTGGTAGTGTCAAGTGACCATCAATAAGAAAGTGTAATGCTTCTATATTGAATAAAGTTATTTGAGTTTCAGTTTGAATCCCTGGTGATGAAATTCCGTCTGTATATATCCTTTATATGTTTTAAATGCATTTAGTATATTTTGTTTCTGTCGTGAGTAGCTTACTAATAAAGTTTGGGACATCAATAAATTCTTTTATCGGAAAAAATAATGGATTTCTTTGATTTTGGTATATGAGAGCACCTATTGATTCCAAATCCAAAAGCATTTTTTTTATAAAATATACCTATATATGTATGTGTATATGAAGTCGTGGTGGCCTAGTGAGTGCGCGGGTTCGATCCTGCCAAGTACCAATGTGATTTTTCCGAGTCATGTACTTTCTAAGAGTATTTAGACAACACTGACTGATGAAGGAAAACATCGTGAGGAAACCTGGACTTATAATATCACGATTATAAGTTTGTAATCACCAACCCGTCTTGAGCAAGCGTGGTGATTAATGCTCAAACCTTCTCCATGTGAGAAGAGGCTCAGCAGTGGGCTCTGATAGGCTGATGATGATATATATATATGTGTGTGTGCTATATATATATTGTATTTCCACCAGCTTGGCATCATCTACCGCGACATCAAGCTCGAGAACATCCTCCTTGACGCTGAAGGTCACATAGTATTAACCGACTTCGGGCTGTCCAAGGAGTTCTGCGGCGGGGAGAGCCGCGCGTACAGCTTCTGCGGCACCATAGAGTACATGGCGCCGGAGGTCGTCAGGAGCGGCTCACAGGGACACGATATAGTGAGTAGACATACACACACACACACACACACACACACACACACACACATACACAGACACACATGTATGTAATATAAAAATTACTTTTGCTACTATTAAATACACACACGCACACATGCACATCATACACACATACAAGACACACCATGTACGCAATCATATGTTATACACACTCGTAATATATGTACACGAAACCTGATTAATCTTTAAATAAGGATATTCTTTTTTTTCATTTTTTTTTATAAAAAATGAAATTATTCTTTGGTTTAAATTTGAAACGATTTTTTAATTGGCGATATTTTTGTTTTATTTTTGAGTTTTGACAAATAAAGAGGATGTAATATGATTAATTAGAAATCTAAAAAATACGATTGATTAAATTAATTATTAGAGTTCTATTCGATAGAAATATAAGTAATTACAGAAGTTCTATATATAGGTTGGTTTATAATAAGACTCGAGTCTCCCACGTAGAGACAAAGATCGGATCAAGTAACTATTATATATACATAATACCTATACATTTAATAAAAATATTTCTTTGAAACTGTAATGATGTAACTATGCCAAATATATAGCGGGATCGGTGGAATACATAATATTAATGTCAAATTTGGCATTTTCTTTATTTTACCTGTGATAAAAAAATGACGTCATAAACTCTGTAGAAGATAATTTTTTTGTTTTAATTTCAATATAATTACAAGTAAAGTTTTAATGTCTGTATGAAATTTAATATTGATCTCTATAAACACGTTGTTATTACAACGTTGGAACGAGTGAAAGTTTGAACGAAATATATATATACATATATATTATATGTTATAAGATATATAACATTACAAACGATGATCTATTCGTAATAAATTATTTTTCGTTAGCCATCTTAATTATGTGAGGCCGTATTTAACGCGGATGTCTCAAGTGGGTCGCATCAAAATAACTTGCAATGTTTATTCCCGACGTTTTATTATTCACATATTATCGATACACTCACACATATACATATATATTATATATAAGTTATAATATATATATTAAAAATGAAATATTATTTAAATTCGCAATATAAAACCAGTTAAAATTTCACAGTCGCTCTATTTTCTTAGAGCGTGATGGCGATATCTTCTTTCTCACTCGCGGGCCATGGCCCACTTACCAACTGTGACGCTAATTCGGCTATAATGCTAACAAATTATATCACACTACTAACATAACTGTTCATATATAACTAATGCACTTTCTAATTCAGTCGTATTATATTGTATTACGGTTAAAATGTAAGTATAATAGTTTTAATTATGTGAGAATATTAAAATTCTGTTTAAAAGTAAACAGTCGATAGAAATGTATCAGACTTGTGATGTATTCAGTATTTATATGACAAATGCAAGCGGAATGCGATGTTTGTTTCGTTGACCGTTGAGCTGAGGTGACCGTATTACAAGGACATTAGGTTCAAATTAGCTTACACGAAAATGGAAAGAAAAAACTGGCCAATGAAATTGAATTCTTAACTATGGAACGATATTCAAAAATGGAACACCTTTGCAATTTCATTCGCTGAAAGACATCGATGGAGTGTTTAAAAATGGAACGCTTCAGAAAGTATTCTGTAAATTTAATTGTAAAATTTAATTTAATTTTTATATTGTTTTTTTGTAATATCTAGAATTAAAACTGTTTTTATGATTAAATTTCAATCGATTTATATACGTAGCCATTGTAATAAATGCTAATAATATCATATATATAGAGTATTAATCCAAAACAAATATTTATTTTTTTAACACCAGACGCTATCACTGATGGTATCATGTCACCTTCAGATTTAAATAGAGCGAGATGCTATTATTAGAACGCTGGTGTGCGAGCGAGACGGGTATATATAATTTTTATTATGAAAAATTAATAAAACAGAATTCATTATATATTTTTAATACTGTATGTAAAAGTTATGATAGTGTTGCATTATTTCTTAGTTTTTTTTCTATTTTATTGTTTTTATTAGTATAATAGTCGTCTGTAATATTTTTTATGTATGTTATATATATGTATATATTATATATGCAAGTCTGAGTGTGCACGTGTCAGTAAACAGCCATTAAGGTATGCGTCTTTGTGTTCTATATATAAATTTTAGATAAATTTTGTTTTGTTACATATATATTGAGAATTATTACTAGGGTTTTTTGTTCAGTGTATTTGGAAATGAATAGATTATACATATAGTAATTTCGTAACCTCAAAAACATAGTATATATGTTATAAAGTACAGTTCGTTTCGTCTGTTCTAAGTGAAAGTTTTTTCTTCAACTTTTACGTTTTCTTTAATTTCAATTCTTGTTTTTTTTTATGTTAGCCGTTCCAGTGTTCATTACCTAGATCAGTTAAGATCTTTATTTTATTTTATTTTCATGAGAATAATTTAGATATACTAAAATATTTGACTACGTGGAATGTGTTAAACTACTATCATTGTAAAGCCGAATTTTTTAAGGATATAGAGATGTTTATTGCTCTTTAATCCAAAAACTACTTGATCATTTTTGAAGAAACTTTTCAATAATGTAGTTTATACATCAGAATAAGTTATAGTCTGTAATGTATCCTGCTATTTCTTGTAGTTTCCGCGGAATGAGGACGTAACAGTTTTATTGTATATTAAGTAACGTGACACTCACTAGATAATTTTTAATATATTACTGATTATTATTCAGTAAAATATTAGATTATAGTTAATTTAAGTTTTAGTTAGCTGATGGATTTGTTGTAATTTTTTTAACCATTTTGTTGAAGGTTTACTGTGAATTGGTTATGCCACTCAGTTATGGAAGTTTTAGTTTATCTTTTGTGTGTCTATATATCCGACATTTTATTCAAACTATGTCATAAGAATATAGGTAATTAGACTTTGATCATAGAAGTGATTTAAGTACCTATGTACTTTATACGTTGAGCTTGAAATAGCTTTCAACTTAATATCTGTATAGAAAATAATAAGTTATGTGAAATAGTTTATATGTATATCTTTATATTCTTGTGTCGTGTGTCAGTTGTAAGTGATAACGGTTATAAAATCCAGAAAATAAAAAAGAATAAAATATTCTCTCAGCGTCCAAGCGGATTCCTTTCCAAGTGAAAGCCAACTAAATAATTCATTACCAGAGCGGAACTTCATTAAAAGAATACGCATTTACTGTTTTAAAAGAACGCGATCTCGCCGCCAATGAGTGTATGTATATTTAATAATAATCCGCACACGTCCTCCCCCGGCCGCCGCCCGGCTGGGAATGAGGTTACTGGTTAGCGAATAGCGTGTTCCAATTTTGAAATTTCAATCCGTTGCTACTTTCACTGTCACTCTTAACGGCCAGTCTATTGATTGTTTTTTTTTTTTTTTTTTTCTCCTCCAACATCCAGCCGACGGTCTCGGACGGCCGGCTCCGTCTATGTCAATTACTTTCGATACAATATATAACAGCTATATAATAAGCCGACCTTGTTTTCTCTTTACGTAACTGTATATTTATTTGATGGCTAGAATTTTTGATCTACCGTTACTTATACTAGTGAGTTTTGTATTGGGTCTTGATTTTTTTTCTAATACATTTAGTCATACTAGTTTGATCTTGCATCTCGCTCGCACCTGTTGCTGTCTCGCTCTATCTTAGTAATTTGCCCGTTATAGGACTATGTAAGTTTCATTTTGTTAAATTATGTCACTATTGAGGAACTTATGGTAATACTAGTTTTTGATCCCGTCTTCTCTCGACTTATATATTATACAACATAATATAGAACATTATGTACATAAAAAAGTTTGATTTAAAATAATATAGCTTCCTTCCTACATAGTAAAATAAAATTAAATATTTTATTACAAGTTTGATAAATTAAATCCCATTACTATGCGGATGATACTGGGAATGAAAAATACATGATATATTTCATTTCATACATTTTATAGAAATTCTGGAACTCATCCAGAATGTACGACATTGTGAGAAGTGTCTTAACTGTGTGTATGTGTGTGTGTGTATGTGTGTGTATGTGTGTGTTGTTAATACATAAATTATTTTTGCAACCTAAAATGGACTATAACGTAATGTATTACGGTTCATTTTATATAAATTGTATTATATGAGTATATTTAGTATGAATTCTCTACATGTTTAAAAGTTATATACAATATTGTATTCTTTGTTAATATATAAAAAAATATATATAATATGGTTCTATTTAAAATAATTTAATTATTGTTAGAATAACATGGTGATATACAGACATTTTTCATATACAGGGTGACTGGTGAATTACTATCAATATTTAAGGAGAATACTCGGTACATGATTCTCATTCGAATTATGTAAAAAAAATAGGTACTTAATTTTTGACCAAATTTCCGTATAAATAAATAAAGTGTGGACACTGTGTTTCTACTTCTCTGTATCGAAGTGAACGGTAACATGTCGGTCGGTGGTACCGTTACTCGTCAGTGTAGTGAAAGTGATAGGAAAAGTGAAAATAACACTTACACAGTACACGATGAATAGCCTATGTGTTATTCCTGGACGTCAGCTTCCTGTATGCAAAGTTTTATAAAAATCGCTTCAGCCGTTTGAGCGTGAAGAAGTAACAAACATAATCACTCACAAACTTTCGCAATTATAATATTAGTAGGATTGAAGCAATGATATTTTTATTCAAAATCGTTTTTTAACTATATAAATCTTAATTTTCGTCTGTATGTATTTTTTAAATTTTTCTTTATATTTTCATAAAAAATATGACATAAAAATTCAACATATATTTAATTATAATGACGTAAAATTCCTATTTAATAATATATATACATATCTTCTATATATATAAAAATGCATTGCTGTTCCTTAGTCTTACTAAAACTCGAGAACGGCTGAACGGATTTATCTTATCTTAGTCTTGAAATGTTCGTGGAGGTTCAGGGAAGGTATAAAAGCTGAAAAAAAATGATTCAT